ATTTTGCTCCAATTTTTAATTCCTTCTTTAGTTGTGTATAACTCATTATTTTATTCATTCATTAATTTCATAAAACAAATCAGTGAATTTTGATATAACTTTTATTATTTATAATTTTTATTTATTTTTTATTCCAAAGGATGGGGGTAGAGACACATGTTTAAAGTTCTCAGCATTTGATAGGTTAAAGCAGAATAATTAAGCCAGGTGGTGGTGGCACACACCTTTAATCCCAGCACTTGGGAGGCAGAGGCAGGTGGATCTCTGTGAGTTCGAGGTTAGCAGCCTGGTCTACAAGAGCTAGTTCCAGGGCAGGCTCCAAAAGCTACAGAGAAACCCTGTCTTGAAAAATCAAAAAAAAACCCAAAAACCAAAACAAACAAACAAACAAAAAACCCAGGATAATTAAAAGTAAGTTCAGGGTCAGACTTTTTCCAAATCACTTGTCTGAATTTTGTCTCATTTGCTTAATCATTCTTTAAATGCACAGAGAAACCCTGTCTCGAAAAACCAAAAAAAAAAAAAAACTAAATGTAATATTTATAAATATGTAGGTTTTTCTGGCCCGGTATTTCCATGTTCTTACCCTCCCACCCCTCTTTTTTTCTTAATAGGTCTCATGCAGCACAGGCTAGCCTTAAACTCAGTAGATAGCTGACAATGACTTTGAACTACAGATCCCCCTGTCTCTATCTCCCAGGTCGTAGGATCACAGGCATGTGCCACCACACAAATACAAACTGTTTTCTTACATAAACCTAATAATCAAAATTTTAACAAGCTATTGATATAATGGCACCAGACTTATTAAAATTTTATCCTTTCTTTGGGGAAGTGTATACGGTGCGGCTTTGCTAGAGGAAGTACATTTCTGAAGGCAGGCTTGGAGATTAAAACTCTGTACCACTTCAAGTTGGTTTTCAACTTCAGGATTGTGATTCAAAATGTGAGCTATCAACTTCCTGCTCCTCCACCATGCCTACTGCCTGCTGCTATGCTTCCCCATCATGACTACGATGCCTCTAGACCCATAAGCCAAAAATAAACCCTTTCTTCTATAAGTTGTTTCTAGTCGTGTTTTATCACAGCAATATGAAAGTAACTAACAGACGTTGGTACTGAGAGTACACTCTGTTGCTTTGACAAGTATGACCATTGCTATTATTATTATTTGGAGCAATGTGGAAGACCTACAGCTTTGGACTAGAAAAAATGGTTGAATTCTGTAAGCAGAGTTTAGCAAGCTGTTCTAGTAGGATCCTGGAAGATAGCAGTACTGAGAGTAATACAGATGGCAAAGGCCCAGCTCAAGAGGTTTCAGAGGTAGGCAACATTAGCAACTGTGCTAGGGGCCATTGTGACATTCTGGCAAAGAAATCTGGCTGTCTTCTGTCACTGTCTTGAGCTGTGGGACCCTGTATGCTGTGAATATGTGTTGTTCTCATTGGTTTATCAATAAAGCTACTTTGGCCTATGGCAAGGTAGGATAGAGCCAGACAGGAAATTCAAGCAGAGACACAGGTGAAGAAAGGTGAAGGCTAGGAGACGCCAGCGAGCCAGCCAGCTGCTGAGGAAGCAAGACATGTAGAAAATGAGGTCACATGGCAATACATAGATTAATAGAAATGGGTTGAATTAAATGTAAGAGCTAGCTAGTAATAAGCCTGAGCCATTGGCCAAGCATTTATAAGTAATATTAAGCTTTTAAGTTGTTATTTTAAAAGTGGATGTGGCACTGGGCAGGATGAAAAGCCTCCATTTACAGGCCTGAGAATCTGATGGAGGCTAAATGAAAAAGTAATAGACTATCTTAGTCAGGGTTCCTATTGCTATGAAGAGACACCATGACCACCATAACTCTTACAAAGGAAAACATTTAATTATGGTGGCTCACTTACAGTTCAGAGGTTCAGTGCATTATCATCATGGTAGAATATGGGGGCATGCAGACAGACATGGTAGTGGAAAGGTAACTGAGTGTTCTACATCTTGGCTTGCAGGCATCAGGAAGTGGTCTGAGTCACTGGGAAGAATCATGGGCATATATGAGATCTCAAAGTCAGCCTCTATAGTTACATACTTCCTCCAACAAAGCAAACCTCCTAATAGTGCCACTCCCTTTGGGGGCCACTTTCTTTCAAACCACCACATGCAACAATTTCTTTGATAGATGTAATTTCAAGATAGCATAATATTGAATCTTTGATATGGATTGTTATTAATGACTCTTGTACAAGTCTACAGTAAAAAAGAGCAAGTGGGGCAGAAAGAAATAAAATATGCACAGTTTAAACAAAAAGAGCACCAGAAAACATAATACTGCAGTCAAGGCTTGTGTTGTGCTGCAATTATTGAGATAAGTGCCCTTAAGGAGAGTCCTGCTCTGCCCTGGGACAAAGAAGGGAGACCTCGGAACAAGACCCCAGTCAGCTAAGCTTCCAATGTGTAAGATAGCCTATGAGGTTTTCTGCTCTTTGAAAGCAAGTGAATATTGCTACTAATTTGGTTAACTGAAGGTGTATCCAACCAGAGCTGGAGCCAACCTTGGCAGTGCCAACCAGTGTGGTACTGGCTTTAGAGGCATGAAGGATACCAGAGTAAAGGGGGTGTGGATACTTCCTCTGCAGTTCCAGGGGGCTGCTGAGGTCAGGCAGCACGTGACTGGGAAGGCCGTGAGACAAAAATGTGATTTATGTAGGACCTAGTTTTAGAATGTTAGGGATGTTCAGAGATTTTAATTTATATATTAGGAGAATGCCTCACATCATTATAAAAGGGCACATTATACTTTATTATAACTTTCTGAATTTTATAAACATTTATTTAAAATTAATATTTTTAAATAGTTAAAGCAAGTACTAACAATTTACCAACCTTAAAAATGCAAGGTTCCTTTAAGTAAAAGAAATTATACAACTCTGAATATCTCCTGTGGGTCAAACAATGCTTATTAAATGGTTAATTATTAGTCTGGCACTCAATTTTAATCATTTAAGATTAGCTTAAAAAATTTAAGCTAATATAGGGGCTGGAGAGATTGCTCAGAGGTTAAGAGCATTGCCTGCTCTTCCAAAGGTCCTGAGTTCAATTCTCAGCAGCCACACGGTGGCTCACAACCATCTGTAATGAGGTCTGGTGCCCTCTTCTGGCCTGAGACATACACACAGACAGAATATTGTATACATAATAAATAAATATTAATAAAGAAATTATTGATTTATAATCAATCCTCACAATAAAAAAATAATTGCATTTGGCATTAGCACCAGTCTGACCAAAAGCCCAAACAAGTGTAATAAAATAGTTAGGCTTCCAAGTCAAATAGGACATTTTAATTTCTTTTCAGAAAACTCTGACTTTGTAAAAATATCAGCAGAATTAACCCACTCTAAGAACACTGCCACAGTTAGAAATTCCAACACTAATGCTATTCTAATTTCCTAACTTTGGGACAGTATTAAGTTAATTCTGTGACTTTGAGTTAATTGAGTGACTCTGGCTGAAGCAGCATGGTAACACACGTTAATTAGAAAAGTCAAGCAGATGCAGCTAGGAAACTTGCAAATGAAAAGATGGAAGATGTGGGGATGGGGAAGAGAATGTAATAGTAAAAGCTATTACATCTATCGCTAGCAATATGTAAACATAGATGTGATGTGAAATTTCTCGATATAGTCTAAAGCAGCTGCTGCTGTCCCCCTACCCACTTTGAAGTCTGAGCCTTATGTTGGCCTTAAACTCCTGATCTTGATCCTCCTACTTCTAGCCCCCAAGCACTGTGGTTACAGGTACCGCCACCACATCCACCTTATAATTTCTTTTTAAACAGCAACTTTACCATGCACTTAATGTTTACTGATCAATTATTTTATTCATGAGGATTCAAATTCTGGTGTGTTTGAATCCAAGTGATTTTTCCACATCAAAGAGTCAAGGCTGCAACCTAGGTAAATTATATTGCCTCTGGCATTAGTGTATACAGAGAAAAGCAAGAGTCCATTGGGTTGGGGAGATTAGTTTAAAGAAATTCGGAGCAGCAATTAGTTGATTCACCTGTTTCTCAAAGGATCTAACCGATGGTAGAGAAACTAGACTTACCAAGAATGTAATATGGTAAAACTAAATCTTAAAACAACAAACAAACAAATGGCTATGATGCGCGCGCGCACACACACACACACACAAATACGATGTTCAAATTATAAAAGCAAACCACCAAAGATTCATCCCCCAAGCAACAATATCACCAATATGACTTTATACACCTGACTGCTCCTTCGCTAGCCCTCAGGCTACCCCCATGTGGCAACCATTAAAATGAATTTTATGCTATGCCCTGCTTTTTCCCATTATAATTTTTTTTTTTAATTTCTCGAGACAGGGTTTCTCCGTAGCTTTTTGGTTCCTGTCCTAGAACTAGCTCTTGTAGACCAGGCTGGCCTCGAACTCCCAGAGATCCGACTGCCTCTGCCTCCCGCGTGCTGGGATTAAAGGCATGCGCCACCACCGCCCGGCTTCCCATTATAATCTTAACACACACGATTGTTTGTGCTTGCTCTTAAACTCTAAAGGCTGTGTGCTGTCCTCCACAAAGTGGTTCCTTCATTCACTGTATTTTAAAGATCCTATCCATTCTACTGTCATTGGTTATTCTTTTCCACTTGTTTTAGAGTCATTCAGGCCATTTCCCCGATTACTCTTTTAGGAAAGAAAAAAAAAAGTTTTTCTTTGTTTCATTCTCAGTATGTTAACCCTATCTAAGTTGTTTCCAGTTAGACGTTACTCAGATTTAGCCCACAGCTTTTACACTGTTGGGAGGTTTTGAGAATTAAAGTGGGGTTGCAAGAGTAGAGGTGGATTGAGAGTACCAAGCATCCTGACACTGTCAACAGACAAGTTCATAGAAACAGAAAAGACAACGTATGGGGCCACATAGTATATACTCCCTTTGCTTACAGAGAGCCCCTCAGAACAGCAACATCCAGGGAAGAGATACCTACGGCATTTCGGGACTTTAGGAAGTGCCACCGTTGCTGGATAGAACTGAGAGCCCTCAAACGCGGAAGCATAAAAATCTAGCGCAGTAGACACTGGATGCGGTGTCACACAAACCGCGCTCCGCTGGAAACAGCCTCCGCACGCTAAAGAGCCCGAGTGTGTGTGTGTGTGTGTCTGTGTGTGAAGAAAGGGGTGTGCGCCCCATCTAGCCGCTGCCGACCCTCTCTCACTCTTCTGGACAAAGCAGCCTCGCGACAGACCAGCGACAGGGCCGTGACTGTACTCTCCGAGTCAGAGGTCTATAGATCTCTGGTCGGACTGTTTGGGAGGTGCTCTGCCTCCTACTTCCGGTAGCGGAGAGGAGCAGTTGCTATGGTAATCTAAAAAAGGCGGAGGTCCGTCCGGCTGTGCTGAGAGATTCGCAGAACTACTGAAGAAAATTGGCTGCTCTTCTTGGTTTGTGAGCTGAAATTAGGTAGCCACCGGCACCCCCTCTCGCTTTCTCGCTCGCTCTGCCCCTCGCTGCCTCTCCCACCAGCTACGTTTACTTTTGTGTCCTAACGGCCCGTGCCTGCTCCTGAAACACAGGGATCCAGCAGCATTGTGGCCTGCGGAATACAAAACGGAGAGAGCTTGTCTCCGATTAGCTGTGGCTGTTACATGGTGAAGTCCCGGTGACTGAATGGCTCTCTGTTTTCACTCGGCCCTTTAGACGCCTTGGGCGCTTGTTAACAGTTTATTTTTCCTGCTTATTGTGTGTCTGGTTATTTATGGAGCCGTTTGCTACAATGTAGTCTCCAGGCCCGGTCTCAGTCTTGGTCTAGAGTTTTAAATAAAAGGGGGTTTCCGAGCCCTAGGGGTGCAATTATACATATATTTAAGCTTCAGTTTAGACTCTCTTCACAGGAAGGGAAAGAATAGAATTCTGGAACATTTCTGCCCTGGGAGTTCCATGTGAGAATAACCCTATTTGGAAAGAGCGTTTGAAGAAGATCCTTAAAAATATGTTTTTAAATTGCTGGCTGTAAAGTGAGTGCTCGCTCTTCCTTATTGGAACAGTTTTCTTTCACATTTGTGAGATGGCGTGCACGCATATGTGTTTAAAACTGATGTTTAATTATGGCGGTACCAATTTGCAGTAACCAGACTGTGACACCGCATCCCTATGGGGTCCTTCTAAATCTGGTGTAATATGAAAGTGTCAGGCAGGCGGTCTGTGTATTATAAATAGGGTACTTCATCCATGATAAGCGATTATTATCTTTCTTTCCCAAGTGTAAAAGACCTACATAATTCACGAAGGTGCCAGTGATTTAGGCCCCCTGAGTAAGAATCCAATGAGTCCTGAAGGGGACGCTACCTGTGCCATCTTATTGTTCAACGTGAACTATTCAATTTATTAGATTGAAATGTATTTTTAGAAGTCAACGCAGGCTAAAGTAATGTTGGCAAGCCATTAGACCACCAGCACAATTTAGCACCTCATAGTAGCCTTTGTTCAATAAACCTTCATCCTCGTTAAACGGAAGAGACCACTGAATTTTCACAGCTTCCTGCTAACTGGGTGACATCTCTGTCCCTCGATCTCATCTTCTGTAAAATGGACAAAAAGTACCTGGTCAGTGTAGTAAAAAGGATGAAATGAGATGTACGATTGTGTATTAATGTCTTATGAACAGAGGCTCTGTACAGACCCCAAATATTACTGCTAATGAAGGAACTCAGTAAAGCCCAATGATAATAAATGAGACTTCAGCTAGACAGTGATTGACAGGTGCTGTGTTATGGAAATGTTAATGAGACGAATTAGTTAATCCTGCTCTGGAGGGTGGGTGTCACCTGCAGCTGATTTACATAAAACAGCTCACTGTTAGGGAATCTCACCCCTCTATTTTTCTTTAGCATGACTGTGTCCTGTAGTATTCTGTAGGCTTCCTGTTTGTAAACAGATGGAATCTTAGCAACCTTTTGAAGTCTCCCATGACCTCTTGTTTTGAGATGATCGGTGTATACACATTTTCTTTGTTCTGATTTCTTTTATATTATACTACAACTTTGTTCTTTGGGATATTTTATATTTGAGGAATTATATACGTGTGTGTATATATAATTAGAACTCAATTGTTAAAGATTTTAATTAACATGTACTGATGAGTTCATATAGAGGTTATAATATTTGCCTTTTTTATTCTATGTGTAAAATCTTTAATAGCCCAGTGCTCCACCTCATGGTGCTACATTTGTGTTTTAGGTGATTTACCTAGACTAAAGTAAAATTTTAATTGTTTTCTAATAGAATGGCCGGCAATCCTGGAAGTGATGCAGCTTTGGGTACTCAGAAATCAATGTTCTCGGGGAGTCCCCGAACAAAGAAATTTCCACTAACTGAGCAGGAGGCATTTTATATGAACTGTAGAGCCGCCTACTTAACTATCTTCAAAAGCAGCCTGGAAAACATTATTTCTAAGGATCAACTTTACCTAGGTAATTTTTTACCTGATTTGTTGAAAGTTATTAGACTGAAAAGTCTGAATTAGAATTATGTCATCGAGTCACTCCAGTTTCACAGTGAAACAAGCAACAGGACTGTAAGAAGCATAACTGTTTCTATGGTTACATATTCTAGGGGCTTCCAGATTATACACATATAAACATATATGTGTGTGTGTATATATATATATATATATGGATATATATATATATATATATCCATATATATGGAGGGAGAGATTGTGTATTCAGAGCTTCTATCAGTTACTACGTGCTTAAGAGTTGTTACTGTTGCCGTTTTTCAGTTGTCCTGGTGGTGCTTTAGATTTATAATAATAGAATTAAAACCCTTTTGCCATCTGACTCACTAGTCTGAATTTTGACTTGCATTAAGAAAAAGATAAAAAAAATTGCAAGACTGGGGTCAAATGACTGTAAGAGAAAAATATAGATAAATGAAAATTTAGAAGATAATTAGGGTTTGGGAGGTTTTGCTTCTTATTCTACCCATTATCATATTTTAAAATTCTTCTGGCTGAGAAGTCCTCCACATCGTTGAAGGTGATGTTTATCAGGCTGTCAATAACCCAGAGGGCTTGATGCTGGTAGTCTTCAGTCCCTGGAGGGCTTGATGCTGGTAGTCTTCAGTCCCTGGAGGGCTTGGTGCTGGTAGTCTTCAGTCCCTGGAGGGCTTGATGCTGGTAGTCTTCAGTCCCTGGAGGGCTTGATGCTGGTAGTCTTCAGTCCCTGGAGGGCTTGATGCTGGTAGTCTTCAGTCCCTGGAGGGCTTGATGCTGGTAGTCTTCAGTCCCTGGAGGGCTTGATGCTGGTAGTCTTCAGTCACTGGAGATGGGTAAATGACAGTAGCAGGTAATGCCGATGGCTTGTGTCAGTTTCATCAAGGCTAATATTGAGAACAGAGAAACTGGGTTTCTTTGCCATCTTTAGAAGTGATTTCCTTAAACCTTAAATTCTGCTGAGTTTCTGCGAAATGTCTTGGGTTTTTGTACATATGATCTCTTTCTAAGAAAGTTCATTTGGAGGAATGGTGAAAATTGACAAGATTAAAATATATTTGCTCTCCATAAGAAGACGTTAACTAAATAGTTTAAGAACAAATGCACATGATGGCAGCAATTTTAAAAAATTATCTGTAGCTTTACTTTGACTTACATAATTTTAAAATTAGTAAACTTTCATCTTGAATTTTAAATACTTGTGCTTAATTGGCATATATTAAATAGTATAGGCAGAAACTCAGTTAATTAAAACTCCACTTTGCCACTGTTGGTAAAATATCTGAGTTTTTTTTCTTTTGAAAATAGAAAAAGTGGGGGGCTGGAGAGATTGTTCAGGGGTTAGGAGCACTGCCTGCTCTTCCAAAGGACCCGGGTTCAATTCCCAGTATCCACATGGCAGCTAACAACTGTCTGTAACTCCAGTTCCAGAAGATCTGACACCTTCACACCAATGCACATAAAATAAAGCACATTGAATAAATTATTAAAAACAAAAAGAAAATAGAAATAGTGGCTGTGCATGGTGGTGCATGCCTTTAATTTCAGCACTCGGGAGTTAGAGGCAGGTGGATTTCTGTGAGATCAAAGCCTGGTCTGCAGAGAGTGTTCCAGAGCAGCCAGGACTGTTCCACAGTGAAGCTTTGTCTCAGGGAAAAAAAAGGAAGGAATGAAGGAGAGAAAGAAAGGAAGAAAGGAGACATTGAACTTGTTAACTTGAAAAGTTTAACATACCTTCCTCTGGTACAGTTCTTGTACTGTTAATCAGTTCACATGTATTAATAAGTTACTGTCAGCTCTGTGAAATTATCTAGGCAGAAAACAAATCTGGTTTTGCATTTCTATTGTCACACATGATTTTGGTTTTGGTTTAAGGAATATTAATATTCTTTGTAGCACTGTTAAGTTAAAGATAGTTCTTACAAAGGAATATGTGCATCAGTGGCATGTGTTTCTTACTACTCTTTTCTAAAATGCTTCTGCTCTTAGCACATAACATATGCATTTATATTACAGAACAACTTTGTACCCAAAAAGGCTTGTGTCTCCAAGAACAAAATCACCCTTTGTATGATTATGTGCAACAAGTGCCCAATAATTGATTTAAATATTTGTATTTATTATGTTGATCTAGTTTCTCTTTCCTTATGGCTATTTCTCTAATGTTTCTCTCTGTTTTGTATTTACTAATCTTCATTACATTAAATTGTAGAAAATTCAGATAAGCATTTTAGTGTTGATTTATGATGCATATATAGTACACATTCCCATCCAAAATAGTTGGAAATTCACAATATAATATTTTATAATAAAAATTGGTAGCACAGTTCAAGACAGATGCAGCTTAGAAATGTAATGCTTTTTTCTCTGATGGTTCATAAGTGTATTAGTTCATGATGGACAGTTACAAAGTAATGTGTAGAAGTCCATTTGCGAATCACTACATCACTTGTCTTCTAATGGACAGGTGTCTGTAATTGCTTAAAGACATTGTGCTTAGTGTTGTGTGATGTATACAAACACAGCCTTTCTGAGATCTGCCTCTTTTACAGATATAAAAATACAGTTAGAAATGAAAACCATTTAACGATTGTGTCTGCACGATGCTTTTCTAAAGGCTTATCAGCTTTCCCTGATTTCTAACAGGGTCATAACTGTAAATGGACTCTTCTTAAAAATTATTACATTTAGTTAAGTATGCTTGTGTGTGTATGAGCATGCATGCACACAATGTGATTGCACTTACATGCACATATGCATGTGTGGTGCCTCTTTGTGCATGCATGTACATGGCAAAGAATGTAGAGGTCAGAGAACAACTCGTAGGAGTGGGTTCTTTCTGCTGTGTGGATCCTGGGAATAGAACTGAAGTTTGGGTTTAGTGGCAAGTACCTTCACCTACTGAGCCATCTCCCTAGCCTTACAGTGGATGCTTTTGTACATATATTTGACATTTAGAACATGGTTGATATTCTGGAGCTCCTACTACCTAACTCTGATGAACATTATAGATGCCACACCTTGTTGACATAAAAAATTCTCAAATAAATGAGTTCTTCCATTCACTGAAATATCTGTCAATCATGAAAAAATAGTCATTTATGCTTTTTGTGGTTACCCCTATTTTCTTAAAAAAAAATTCAGACAACCTTGTTTTCTCTACTAGTTCTTAGGTAAACCAGCTGGGTCCAGTGTGTCATCCTTGTAATCCCCACACTTTGGAGGCAGAGGCAGGGAGATCACATCAAGTTCAAGGCCAAACCAGATCAACAAAATGAGTTCCAGGCTGGCCTGGGCTATAGAGTGAGAACCTGCCTTAAAAAATAAAGTTCTTAAGTAAGCCAGTTAATGACAGTTAAGTAGGTTGAAAACAAAACCAATAGAAGAAGGAAAAAATCAGTTCTGCCACTAATATGTTAAGTCTCTTTAGCTGGTAGGCGTATATATTTTTTGTTTTCAATAAAGAAGTATACAAGGATGTAACTATCTTGAGAAACATACATTGGTGTAACTCTATAGTCAGTAGCAATGGTGATATAGTGACAGATATTGAATTTGCTTGCTAATATATAGGGATTGAAGAAAAATGCTGAAATACCAATTCCAAATGTTATAGTAATATATGATCCTTTTTTACATTGAGCAGCTCTTCAACATGCGGGAAGAAGTCCATCTCAAAAGACTATTAATAAGTACTGGACTCCTCAAACTGCTAAACTGAATTTTGATGATTTTTGTATAATTTTAAGCAAGGAAAAACCTACTTCAAAAGCAGAATTGCTAAAATCATTTAAACAATTAGATGTGAATGACGATGGCTCCATTCTACACTCTGACCTTCATAAATATCTAACGAAGGTAAGAACTGTGGGAATTCTATACTGTGTGTGTCTCTAAAGCAACTGGAGTCTAGCTTGGGCTGCCAAAATCCACATTAAAGTAAGTATTCTCTCAACAGGTAAAATGAAGGGCACAGAGTATTTATAAAGCATTGGCAATCCTTCTCCATGAAAAGTGCTTTATAAATTAAAGAGAAAGTATAAAGCTGAGCCTGTGTTTCCGTCTCCCTGCTCCCATGTCATTCTTTTCTGCCCAGAACTCTGAGGATCTAGGATTTTCATGTGTTTAGTAAAAGGAAAATAAGTGTAAATGTGATATGAAATAATTTTCTGTCATTTCATTTTCTTTCTTTCTTCTTTCTTTCTTTCTTTCTTTCTTTTTTAACACAGGATTTCTTCGTGCACGGGCTTCATAGACCAGACTGGCCTTGAACTCAGGGATCCACCTCACTCTGCCTCCTGAGTGCTGGGATTATAGGTGTGCACCACCGTACTCAATTCATTTTGTTTCTTGAACACTTAGAAGATATTATTATTATAACTTTAATATCCATTATTACAGACTCTGTAACATGAATTGTTAAAATCTTGAAATTGAAATTAAGGATATTTTCACAAAATTTAATAATTTCATGAAATTTTATTTAATATAGTTTCATTATTGCTTAATTCTGACTCATAATGAAACCATATATTCAAAATTATTTGTGGAGGAGATTTAAATGTATTTCTAACTAGGCACTGTACCTTACCCACACCTTTAATTCCAGCAGCCAGGAGAGAGGCAGGCAGATCTCTGAGAATTCCAGATCAACCTGGTCTACATAGTAAGTACCAGGTCAGCCAGATTATATAGTGACACTGACTAAAAAAAAAACCCCAAAATGTATTTCTACCATCACCATAAACAACAAAACATTGATTCTGTTGTCTTAAAACAAATGTTATTTTATTTCTAGAGAGGTGAGAAGATGACTAAGGAAGAAGTAAATGCTGTGATAAATTTGGCTGATGTAAATGCTAATGGAAAGTTTGACTACATGAAGGTAGATGAGTCCTTATTGATATGAACCTGCATGCTGTGAAGGGAATCACTTTTAATTTTCCCCAGTGCTGCTAATGTATAACTGACAAAATGGTGTATATTGATAATGTATACATAGATGCTATTGATACATGTATACATTGTGAAATGATTAGACCATATCAGATATGTGTGTTTGTTATTATTGTAGTCAACCAAGGGCCTCATCCATACTCAACACTGTACCATGAAGCAACTCCAGCCCTTATACAGTGTTTTTTTTTAAAATACTGACAAGGGTATAGTTATAAACTGAATACTCATTGTAATTTTAATTTATCCTCTTCAGTCTCACAATTATGATCTGATGATTATATTTAAAATAGTGTAGGGCAGGCATCCCTAACCTCGACATTCAAAATACGAAATGCTTCATAATCTGAAGCTAAGTTTCATGTGTGAGCCATGTGAGGCCTACTAAAAGTATTGCATGAAACTTCCTCTGGCTATTTGTATAAGCAGTATGTGAAACATAAATATATTTCTCAGTTAAGACTTAGATACCATAAGATATTCTATGTATCTGCAAATGCTCCAAAATCTGAAGTCATCCAAAATACTTTTGGTTGGAGCATTTTGAATAAGGGCCACTCAACCCACATAACCAAGTTAAAATGCATACAGGTATACAAACAAGCATAGAGACTCCCTTCAGAAATGAACCTTTTCTGGGCTGGAACAGTCATAAAAATTATTTAGAACAAATGCAAGTCTATGTGTATTGTTAAAAAAAAATAAATCACCTCTCCTGGTGTACCATTCATTCTCACTCGGAGTGGGACCTCACTGATTGATGGCCGCATTTCACTAGGTCGCTTGGGGCTGGGCAGTCTGGTTCAGGGAAAATAACATGAACAACAAGTAAAGTAAGAAACACGTTTCATTGACTGGCCTCCTCCTTGCCTACTAATGTGATATGCCTCCCTCGCCTCCCAGAGGTCGGACAGAACATTTTCCCCACCAGCTGACTTTCTTCTATTTCCTTTAGTTTTGTAAATTATATATGACAACCAGCGAGCAGTGTCTCAGGACTACTCTAGAGAGACTGGAGGCTGACAGTAAACTGAGACGCCAACAGTTTGGAAGCCACATGGAAGGGTCCCCTGAAAGAGGCCCATCTCCAGCACCAAAACCGTCACCTAGAATCATAAGAAAAAATGACCAGGAAACCTTCTCAAGTAAAGGTATTTACTTTCAATACTAAAATTTTCTTGATTAGAGATGATGGATCATAATTCAGGCAACAATTTCTTTCATCTCCAGTTATCAATAATAAAGTAAATGAGGCCGTTTCTAGACTTTCTTAGCAGTAAAAATCTACTGAAGTAAAATTTTATTATGAAACTTCACTTGGCTGTGCTCATTATATTTTATTTAACTAAAATTCCAGACTAAAAGATGACATATTGAAATAAAGAATCTTACATTAGTAGCACATAAATTAAAACCATTAAGGCCTGATCTATATAAAGCTCTAACTGCATTTCAGTAGGAAGAACAGAGTGAAATGAGAGTGGTAGACTGTGTGGCCCCGTGTCTAGAGATTAACTGCTGCCAACCACTTTTCATAGAAGACCAAATCTCTTCCTTTACAGGTGACGCGAGCCCTTCCTTGCTGTCAACAACTAGAAAGTTCAAAACATCTGTTTCCTTCACAATTACCATGAGTGCTAATAGTAACCGAGACTCAAAGTTAACAGAGCCAAACCTAAAGGTACAGTACTTTAAATGAACAAAATCAACTTTTTCTGAAAAGTATCTGGCTTTAAGATCATTAATAATTATTGAATGTTCACAGGGAACCAATGGAGTTTGTGAACTAATTTGAGTTTTTCCTATAGAATGCAGTATTTCTATTTGTAATATTTTAAATTAGATTTTATTTATGTATGAAAGAGTCAGCTCTTTCCTTGCACCTTGTGGAGTCAGGACAGGATGTGAGTTGTGCACTTTGACTGTAGACACCTTTGTCTGTTGAGCTATCTTGCTGACTTTGGTTATGATGTTTTAAAGTAAAAAGAATGAGCAAGAATATTATTATATATAAGGTCTTTAGTTTGAAAATGGTGACTCTTCAATTTTTAAATTTGATGAATAGATTAATTATCTATGTACCTTGACAAGTAAAATGTTTTGTTTTACAAATACTTTCCCTACGTATTGTGTAAATAAATCATCCATTCAATATCAATTCCTGTGAGAGAAAGACTACAAAGTCACTTTGCTAAGTCAATATTTGTTGAGTGTTAATATTGATCTTCTTCCTTTGTTTTCCCTTTTTAGACTCAACTTTTACTAGTTTTCTTTCAGCAGAAAATAATAGCTACAGAAATATAAAACATTAACTGGAAACTGCTAGGATACATTAAAAATGTGCACCTGGAGACCTCTGTAGAAGGGGGAAATGGTTATGACCACACACTAGAACTGCTGTTAGAGAACTGAACTGATTGTTCTCCAGAGCTGCATTCTTGTTTCAAATAACAACTCTGTATTTGTTATTGAACTCTGAAGTCCCTTATATCTTTAAATTGCTAGACAGTGACATTTGTTCTATATTAAAATTTTAAAACATCATCTCTAAGGAATTTTGCTCTGACTGTTTAGGAATCTATACACCCTAAACAATTTGGTGTGCATGTCCAGTTTGTTCACACATATTTTGTGTTCCAACAGTATTATTTTTCACCAATAGAACCTGTTTTCATTTTGTAATTAAGTTAAATGTTAAAATATTAGCCTGATTATGATTTACCTAATTCTAAAGTGTTTAAATTTAGTCATCATGTAGAGATATAAATATTAATAGATTATATTGAATCATAAGGTTTTTCTTCTCGCCATTAATACAGTTCCTTTAGGTCATCCAACAAATAATTTCTTTTTTTTCTTTCTTTCTTTCTTTCTTTCTTTATTTATTTTTTGTTTTGTTTTTGTTTTTTGAGACAGGGTTTCTCTGTAGCTTTGGTGCCCATCCCGGAACTAGCTCTTGTAGACCAGGCTGGCCTCGAACTCCCAGAGATCCGCCTGCCTCTGCCTCCCAAGTGCTGGGATTAAAGGCGTGCGCCACCATCTCCCAGCCAACAAATAATTTCTAATAAAGTAATGTGTGTCAATTATTTTGATTGGTGTAAAATATGGACCTTGAATTGAAGAAATTTCCATTTGATTATTATCTATCATATGCCAAGGTAGCATAGCATTGTATTTCATTGTTATAATACATATTTATTGATTGAATACTCTGTTAAAGAGTATTCTTGGAACTGATCAAAGAGCTCAGAATAACACACCTGAAAGTAAATTCTAGCTATTCCCCTAGTGACTGTGTAAATGGGGGCAGGTTTAACACCTTCTCTTTTGAGTGATTTTCTTTAACTATAAATTGGGAATAACTTTATTTAATGTATTTTAAAGGATCTAAATTCTTTGTTTGTGTTTGTTTGTTTGTTTTTTGTTTTTCAAGACAGAGTTTCTCTGTAGCCTTGGCTGTCCTGGAACTAACTCTGTAGAACAGGTTGGCTTCAAACTCACAGAAATCTGTTTGCCTCTGCTTCTTGAGTGCTGGGATTGAAGACCTGTGCCACCATTGCCTGGCCTAAATCGATTTCAAAGCATTTAGCATAGTATTAGGGACATAGTCACTTAAATTTTTAAAAAAAGTATTACAGACCTAAGACATGACTGCAGTTCTTTATATGGAAATGAAATGAAAGTCTAGTCTAAGAACAGTTCTTCTGGAATTGGATTGTGAATGGAGATGGGAGAAGACTTACCTGAGAGGCTGATAGCGTTATCTGCATGTGTAGTGATGCTAGCTTGGCCTAGGTAGTTATTGAGTGTACTAGGAATGGGAGGGTTCTAATAGACAGTCCCAGGATTAGTCTGCAGGCCTTAGTGGTTATAAAAGAAAAAAGAGTCTGCTTACGTTTTTCACCTAAACATCAAGAAGGAATGTTGGTGATGATTGAAAATTAGATTTTAAAAATATTAAGAATTTAATTATTAAAAGAAGTTGACATACTGTCAAGTTAAAAACGTTGTTTACATTTATTCCTTATGTGTGTGTGCACCTGCAGCAGAGTGCATGTGGAGGTCAGAGGGCAGCTTGTTCTCTTGTGAGCTGGTTCTCTCCTTCCTGTTTGTGAATCCCGGGGACTGAACGTAGGGAAAGTACCTCTGCCTGCTGAGCCATCTTTGTCAACTTTTTCATTTTAATCCCTCATTTTTAATATAAATATTAATTTCTTTCAGAAATGTTGGCCCTGCATTTCTTAGACTTCTTTGTTTATTATATGGTATTTCTTAGATGAAGTGACCAAAAATTACTGTTATTTTAACTTTTGAGACAGACTATCCAAGGCTGTGTAGAGATTTCCCGTGTAATCAAGGATAATCTTGAAGTTTTGATCCTCCTGTTCCCACCCTTATCCAAGCACTGAGCACATTGCTAAGTGAGCCCGTGCTTTAGTCTGAGGCTTTCTGTCACTCAGCAGGGCTCAGCTCTTTCTATTGGCATTTTACTTAGAAGCAGTTTTATTTTTGTAGATGTTAAATACATTTGTGAAATTTTAGGACCATTCTAGTATTTGGTTGTGAAAATACAAGATAAATTACTAATAAGACAGCTAAATTAATCTTCTTCAAGTATTTTAAGAAAGTTGGTACCTCAGTTTATGTGGGACAGAGAAGAGTGGGATTGCACAGAAAGCGAGAGGCTTCAGAAATGTGAATTTGTTGCCATGGGGCAAGTATAAGCCAGAGTCTCTCTCTTTGCCCTCTCTCCCTTCCTCCCTTCTTCCTTCCTCCTATGCTTTTGCTCACTTTCTAAGAACACATGGTCTTGCTGTGTTTGTCCAGGCTGGACTCGAGCTCGCAGGCTCGGGCAGTCTTTGGTTTCAGCCTCCTAGAGTAGCTGAACTGTAGGCACCATGCTTAGCAGCCTACATAAATCATATATCCACACATTTATGAAAGATTTGAATTACAGGAGGAAAATAGGAATGTGCCAGTAACTGTACATATATGACTTCCTATTGCTCATACTTCAACACTCTATCGCTATTCCCTTTTTAATTTTGGATTCTATCTAGTTAGGTTCAGAAATATTCAAGAAATGTCAAGAATTTTCCCTTGAGAGAGGAATAGCTTTAACTTCCTTGCTATAAACCAGTCACTACTGAAATTAGAGTAGGCCACAAGTCGTCAGTGGTAAGCTCCAGAGATGTAACCTGCCGGTTTATACTCTTAATTGGGACTTGCCTAAATATATGTCATCTAAACATGTTTTTAGATATGTATATGACACCATACAACAATATATAGTATACATACATGTATCATACAATATCAAGCTGTATGTATTCACAGCATGTTATATATGCATAAACCATGTACATGTGAAGCATACCATATTTCATACACAAATTTCTCTACAAAACAGTACAAGTGCATAATACAATTATGCATATAAATATATAATACAAATTGATAATGACTCAGTCTTAATGTTTGTTAAAGCACTAGTTATGTTTCCTTTACAAAATGTTCATCAATTGATCCATCAACTAAAAGATAATCCATATCAGTTTTCCTTCATACATCATCTACTTAACCTATTATTTTAAAGAATTCTTTAGTGACAAAAAATTAAGAGCGCATTTCAAACAACGAAAGCGAATAGCTTCCTGAAGGGCATGACAGCGACTCTCGGTAAAGAGTGGTGGAGACGACAGCCTCCCGTGCTGTCACGGTGGCAGGTCTGCTTGCGGTAGAATTGTATGTAAGGACAAGTGTTTACCAGAGTGACTCAGGAAAAATGAACTCCACTAATCCATTTGCGATCACTATTTTCTACTTTAAAATTTGTAGGCTGTGTCTTTAGTATTTCCTTATTTCTTATGAATGGGATAAGTAAACCATGTGTCACCAGTGAAGTCCTTTGCACTTATAGGAATGTTCTCGAATTGGTAGAATCTAGCACCACCTCATGCCCGCTCTAAGAATTACAAGCTGTTTTATTTATCAAAAAATGTATTACACATGGAATTTCCTCCTCTGTTATTCTAAAATCATTTTAAAACTCAGTGTACATTCATAAACTCAAACTGTCAGCCGTATCTGTATTCTATTCAGATTTATTTATTTGAACATTTCAGACAATTTCTCAGTATTTTTTTTTTTTTTACTGTTAATTTATAGCATGTTGGTTTGGATTCATTCATTCTTAGGGTGTTAGTCTGAACCCAAGATTCCCCCCCCCCAAAAAAGCAAAAACAAAAAACCTTTGTGATTGAAAGTCTTGTTTTAAATAAAATTAAAGTTGAATAAGCACTGTATGTTTAATAACTTTTGTGAATCTAAAGAAACCCACTTGTTTCTTTATAAGCAGTGCTGTGCAAGGTTTCCTAGTGATGTCATTTACTGTTCTTCTTTCGGGGTCAGTCATGTGGCACTTGCCCTACCTTTGTGTAGGGATTCCCTGCTGTTTCCAGGCCTCAGTGTAACATTACAGTATGGAGTTTGGCAGTCTTCCATAGAAACTTACAAATTCTTTTTCTTTTATAAGCATTTTTTTTCCAGAACTGGAACATGGGAAAGATATCTAATAAAAATGCTAACCTTCTCAGCTAGATTTTTAAAGCCATTTCCTATCAGCCCTTGGCACTGCCCCAGAAGAACTGCCATGAACAACCTCTCTTTAGTTTCCCAAATGCCACAAATCACATTAACTACTAATATTCTAAACAAAGTACATTTAAGGAAAACAAGTTCTTTTAGGGCGATGAGAAGGCTCAGTGGGTAGAATCTTGACAACTTGAGTTCAATCCCCAGATCCCAGTGGTAGGAGGGAACCAGCTTTAAAAATATGGAGAGCTGCTGTATGTAAGCTAAACACTTAAGTTTGTTCAACCATTAAGAATATAAATGATAATGCTCCATCATTGTATCATTTACTGTATATGTTTATGTTATATATTATATTATTGATTTATAATATAAACGTGAAACTTCATTTAAAGCTCACTTTAGAAAATCATGGTAGTTTTTTGTTGGTGTGTTTTATTTTTGAGCAAGGGTCTCACTGTAGCCCTGACTGGCCTGGATCTCTGAGTATGCCAAAGTGGCCACAAACTTGCAGACATCCTCCTATTTCTGCCTCCCAAGTGCTGGGATTATAAGCAAAGTTGCTATGCCCAGCATTCATGGCAGATATTAAATGCAAAGTAGATCAGAACTCAGAATACAACTGGTAGATGGGAGAGGAAGACTTCTGAACTGTGATATCATGCCTGCTGTGTTGTTTTCCAACCTTTGCCTCTCTACCAAAATGGATGTCCTAGATTGCCTTTAGACCCTCTCTATCTTTACAAGGAGCTGACATCTCTGATGGGAAGTTGCAAGATCTGAAATTCTCCCAAGCCCTCCAAATTGTAAATAGTAACCTGATGCCACAAGCACAACACCCCACACCTGCCCTCATGTGATGGCTGCACCCCAGCTTGCGGCACGTGCTGCATACTTAGGTGCTGTGGGACAGTGGCTTTACCCTGTATAGATTTGTTTCTTGTGCGTGTTTAATAAAATGCTGATCGGTCAGTAGTCAGGCAGGAAGTAGAGGCAGGGCAATGAGAACAGGAGAATTCTGGGAAGAGGAAAGGGTCAGTCCGCAGTCATCACAGAGAAAGCCAGACACAGAGCAAGCAAGATGAGAATGCCTCACTGATGAAAAAGGCACCAAGCCAGGTGGCTAACACAGACAAGAATTGTGGGCTAATATAAGTTATAAGAGTTAATAAGAAGCCTGAGCTAATAGGCCTACTAGTTTATAATTCATGTAAGACTCTGTATTTCTTTGGGATGAACGACTGTAGGACCAGGCAGGACAGAGACCTCTGTCAACCCTTAGGCTATGTGTAAAAACGTGCTTAAGAAATGGTGACTCTCCTGTTCAGATTTGGGTCTCATTCCAAAGATGTCATGTCATGTATAAACAGCTATTCCAAAACCTGAAGGAACAAAGCAAAATTTAAAACATTTCTGGTTCTCAAGATTTTAGAAAAATACATGCAATGTATATTTGACAATTATGATTGATTTCTTTTATGTCTGCATTTTCTCTCCTATGTTTGTACACTCCTGGAGGGCAATAGGTATGTCTGACATTTCTTTAGGGTCGTCTCTCATTTTCTCATCATTACTATGCACGCTGAAACATTTAATAAATATTGTTTGAAAATGTTTCCCTTCATTTCAGGACTGGCAGTATGTGCAGTCAAAAGGCTGTTTCTTTTTAGAAGAAGATGGTGAAGTCGTTAGTCATCAGTACAAGATGCACATAGCTCAAAGATCAGTGCTTTATCTAACAATTAAGCCATTGAATCTGAGTCAAGTTGAAGGCAAGTTTAAATTATTTATTTGTTTATGTTTGTATGTATGTGTTTTTGTTTACTCATTCATTCATTCATTCATTCATTTGAGGCATGGTATCACTGTGTACCTCTGGCTATTCTGGAACTCATTATATAGACCAGACTGACCTTGAACTCACAGAGATCTATCTGGGAGTAAAGACTGAGGCTGCTTTACTTATCTATTTTTATTTTTAAAATACCAATTTATATTCTCTGAAAGTACTTTATATTTCCTAGTCCTAGTTAAGAAAATAATCTTCCCAAGAAATGTATGGTTTTATTTAGTTTTAAATTTTTTCATTATGTTTATTCTTCATATATGATGTTTAGTTAGGTAAGTACATTTTAATGCAAGTATACTATACATTGAATAAATCCCCCCAAATCCTTCTTGTCTTCCCATTTTTCCCTAGTCCCTTTGGTTAACCTAAGCAGTTTGACTTCTACTTGTATGTCATATATACATACAGGATCTTATGTGTCTATATAGAATCTAGGAACATGTGTTGGCAAGACGGCTCAGCATGTAAAGACACTTGGCACACAAGCCTGATATATTTAATCTTTGGAACCCATGTAAAGGTGGAAATAGAGAAATAACTCCATAGAATTGCCTGTGACCTCCACACATGCACTATGCCATATGACCTCCTCCACAACTTTTTCTTTCTCCATCATGCATACTAACAATATATTTTTATTAAAACCTTGGAACTACAATTGAGAGAAAATAGATGATAATTCATTTACGATTATCTCCATTATATTTATCTTCCTTCAGACAACAGAACTTGACTATTCTTTACACTTAAAAAAAGTTTCTATCTGGGCCAGGCGGTGGTGGTGCATGCCTTTAATCCCAGCACTTGGGAGGCAGAGGCAGGTGAATCCCTGTGAGTTTGAGGCCGGCCTGGTCTACAAGAGCTAGCTCCAGGACAGCTAGGACTGTTGTTACATAGGGAAACCCTGTCTCAAAAAACAAAACAACAAAAAAAAGTTTCTATCTGTGTGTCTGCATGTGTGATTATACCACACTTTCTTATCTGTTCCTCTGTCATTGAACACTTTCACAGTGCTGCTTATAGACATTGATGCACAAATATCGCTATAATATGTTGAATTGGAGTCCTTTGGGTAAACCGTCAGCTGGGTCACATGGTAGATTTGGTTTGAGATTTTCAAGAAACTTCCATATTGATATCCATGGTGTCTGGCCTCGTTGACAACAGTACTTTAGAAGGGTTTCGTTTTGTTTACATCCTTGTTGGAAATACTCTTTTGCTCAGGAGCATTTTGGCTCTCCAGAGTGTTTTATGCTTCCGTAAGAGTTTTAAGATTGTGTTTTCTGTTTCTATAAGGAATATCATTGGACATCTGGAGGGCATTGCTTTGAGTCTCTGATTTTGATACAATACCCATTTTTACAACATTAAGTCTTAGCGTCCGTAACCACGGGAGGTCTCTTCCTCTTTCAATGTTATCTTCAGTTTCTTTTGTTTTAAAGTTATAAAGATGATTTTATTTATTAGCAAGTTTTTTAAAATAATAAAGCTTATTAAAAATAAATTTTTCATTGTAAAAGTTTTTTGGCACCTTGGTTAGGTGTTTAAGGGTTTCTTGTTGTTTTGAGGCATTGTGAATTGGTTATTTTCATGGTTTGTTATTGTCATAGAAGATGGCTACCAGGTTTTGTTTGTTAATTTGTGTACTGCCACTTTGCTGATACTGTTAGTCTTTAGGGTATCTTATATATAATATTTTATCTAGAAACAAGCATTCTTTTATCCTATTTTTTAATTTTAAACTTTGTTATTTAAAAATACTTTAATGAAACACATTTCTCAGCCTGAAGACTATACAACTCTGTAAATCTCTATATAGTTAGAATAGCCATTCATCTCTTCCTCAGTCCTAACATTTAGCCTTTCCTTTTTCATTTTCTGCATATTGTATTGCATCTACATGTACATTTGCCTGTATCTATATAATTGTATGTAGATATATACAGATATTATTGCCTAGATTCTACATGTGAGAGAGATATAGAGGTTTTTTTTCTTTCTGAGATTGTGTGACCTTACTTAATAGTATGCATTCTAAGTTCATTCATTTCCCTGCAAGTTTTGTGATTACGTTTTTCTTTAGAGAGAATAGTTATTCACACACACACACACACACACACACACACACACACACTGTTTTCATGACCCATTTATCTTTTGATGGACATGTAGGTTGATTCCAGTTCTTCACATAGTTAGTAAAGCAATAAATGTAGAGGTACAAATATCTCCATGGTAGAGTAAAATAACAAGTCATATGGTGGTTCTATTTTTAATTTTTGGAGAAATATCCAAACTATTTTTCAGAATGCCTGTATTAGTTTGCATCTGAAAGTATTCCTTTCTTGCCCCAAACTCACAATATTGGTGATAGGCATTTTAGTATGATTCATATATGACCAAAGACAATCAACAAATAATGTTTTAATTTTTTTAAAGATTTTTTATTTATTTATTATATATACAGTGTTCTGTCTGCATGTATTCCTGCAGGCCAGAAGAGGGCACCAGATCTCATTATAGATGGTTGTGAACCACTATGTGGTTGCTGGGAATTGAACTCAGGACCTGTGGAAGAGCAGCCAGTGCTCTTAACCTCTGAGCCATCTCTCCAGCCCCCAAATAATGTTTTATAAAGTATGTCAGTTACCAACTGCTATAAATCAAAATGCCCAAAATTTCAGTGACTTAATACAATTAAGGATTTGTTGATTCATGAGACCTTTTAGTCTGAGCCTGGCATGGCTTTTCTGTGCAGGGTTCAGTCACGCTTGCAGTGACAGGTTAGCTAATGGCCAGATTTACAGTGCTGGCTGCATTCTCCTATGTGTGTGGTTCCATCTAGGACAGCTTGACTGCCCTGAGGATCTTTCATCTTCCAGTAAGCCAGCATGTACTTTCTTATATTGTGACTGGAATCTGAGGGGGGAAAAACCAACAAAAAACAAAAACAAAAGAACAGGAACATTTCCAGAGTGGTGGTCTCAGAACAGACAAAGTGTTAACTTCTGTTCCATTCTGTTATTCATAAGTCACAAAGTCCAAATCAATAAGACTGCAAGAGAAACTTCATCTCTTGATGGCAAAGCTGTGTAATTGTATCATAAAGGTCTGTGCATCCAGAGAGGGCAGCTGTTTTGTGATGCTCTCTCACAGGAGGCAAATGAGAACGCACTGTTGCTATAGAAGGATAAGTGAAGAGCAGTGGAGGTGGCAGAGCATTCCAGATAACTTGCTAAGTAAGGGACTTTGGTGTAGAATGTGATGGTGCAGAACAGGAGCTGTGGGGCTAGAGAAATGGCCTCTTGCAGAGGACCAGGATTCAGTTCCCAGCATCCAAATGGTAGATCACAACAATCTGTAAATTCAGTTTCAAGAGATCCAAAACCGTCTTCTGGCCTTTACAGGCTCCTTCACACATATGGTACATATAAACTCATGCAAGCAGACATACATACACACAGAATAAATCAGTCTTGGGCTGGAAGCTAGTCTGTCTGGAATGAGTAAGCAAGGAGAAGTTGGTAGGGAATGAATGAAGAGCAAAGGAACAAAAGTATAAACTGTAAGAGATATTTCCTATAATGAAAACTTGTTTTTACTAAGAGAAAAGAAGTTTGGGGAGGAAAGGGTTTTTTTTGTTATTTTTTTAAGCAGTTTGAATATGTATCTGAGCTTTACTATTGATTCTATTATTATGGTCAATGTACTGTTAGACATTTACTGTCTGGGGTTCTCAGAGAGTCTTGGATATGTGCCTTTCTTGCTTTTGGAAAATCTTCTCACTTTATTCTTCTACCTTTTTTCTTTCTAACATACCGCCTTCTGTGCTCTAACACAGAAAAAGCCAGGGCTTTCAATTTCCTATCCCACCTTGGGAAAGTGCCTTTCAGTCTCCTTAGTTATGACATGGCCTCAGTTCTGATAACGTCTTGTAGTTCATCTGCTTTTTCTTATTGGCAGAACAATATACTTTGAGCTTTATCTCAGCAGAGGATTTTTTAAAAAAATATTTATTTATTTATTATATATAGAATATTCTGTCTGTGTGCATTCCTGCAGGCCAGAAGAGGGTACCAGACCTCTTTACAGATGGTTGTGAGCCACCATGTGGTTGCCGGGAATTGAACTCAGGACCTTTGGAAGAGCAGGCAATGCTCTTAACCACTGAGCCATCTCTCTAGCCCATCAGCAGAGCATTTTAAGTAGGGGCAGTGTGTGACCTGATAAGCATGTAGATAACATGACTGTCTAAGAGTATAGATGGTTTCTCCCAGTATCAGTACTGGATCCCAACTCTTCCTGGAAAGTTCTGCTCTCACTTAGAGCTTGACTTGCTTGTCTTGCACCTCAGCTGTTGTTTTTCATTGTTCTTTGTTTGGTTTTAGTTAGGATGAGCACATTGGTGATCAAACCCAGGTCCTCGTGCATGCAAGGCAAGTGCATAGGCTCATGCCCTGCCATTGAAACACAGCTTTTTGATGGTTTCAAGAAACTTGAGGCCTTTTAGAAACTGAGTACAGAGATACTGTTTTTCATAAAATTAAATATAGTAGTGGCATATTATAGATATTAAGATATTTGTATGTAAAAATGGGATGTGTATTTCTTTTTCAAAATCTACTGGGTAAAGAACTTAAAAGAATCTACAGTGATTGGCTGCTCTGAGGTGGGTTTTGTTGGTGATGCTGTTGTTGTTGTCTTTCTAGGAAAACGTCCCCCCTGGTTATCTGTTGATACGGCCTTATATATTCTCAAAGAAAGTGAGGAGCAAGCAGAGCCACAGCTCATGTGTTTTACTGAACTACGAAATAGAGAAGTATACATATTTTTTAATGTTTAAGAATGCAATATGAAGCCACATTGAAGGAAATAATAGCTTTTCACCAGTATTTTAAACTCAGATGTTCTCTATTCTAATGAAGGTATAGGTGGTACCTAATCATTATGCTATTACATATGTTTTATTAACTGTAAAGAACTTTTTCTTATATTCTAAGATTGTTTTTTAGGGATTGATGATTGATAGCCTTGGCTCCATAACTACGTGCCCTGATGTATCTCGTGAAAATATTTTTTGTTGTTGCTCTCAATAAAGAGAGTGATGTTATTAGATTCTTTCTACCCTCCAGATACATGACCCCAGCTACAGCAAAGTTTGTTTCTGATGTCTGTCTTACTTGTGCTACGACTGCAGAGCAGGAACTCTCCCAAATTATTATCCTCAGGGTTGACTCATATTGTAGGGTTCAGAAATAGTATGATGGAAAGAAATGCTTTTGAATGTTTTTATATGTTGCCTCTGAGCTTGTTCTGGTCCTTTCTAATTATGTATCTACTCAGAGGCTAAATATGTGAGCAGATACATACATGTGCCTATTTATTTTATGAGGATACAAAATACAATCTACTTCACAGCAGCAGAAATAATACTATTGAAGAACTTACTGCAATATCATATTTAATCTTTATATTGGCTCAATGACAGACAAGTATTTTTCTATGGGATGTTATATAGAAGTGTTTTTTTGGAGGCCTCCTAACAGACAAGGGTATTACCGGCCAGAACCACATAAAATGGCAGAAGGTACCATTTTTACTAAGCTCTTCTTCATAGCTGACTATAAGGTGAAGTTAAAGATAAAGCAATGTCAGAAACAATAGCTTTTCCCATTTGGTTTTGGATGAAATGACTTTCTTATGAGATTGCATGTGTAAAAACAGTCAGTCATAGCAAGGCTATGTTTAAACTGAGTTTCTGTGGGTGTCTTTATAGGCTTCTGTTTATCTGTAATATGTCATATTTACAAAGGATTTTTACTAGTAGTTTTAGCTTCACAATTATTTTCCTTAAGAAGAGTTTGGTACCCATGAAGAACTTCCTAGCTGCCATCTATAGTGGCCCTTCACAGTTATATGTGGGGAATAAAGGAAGTTCATGGGATGACATCCACTAGGAAGTAGCAAGATATTTTTGAACTCTACGTGTCAGCCTGTATATGGTTAGTCTAAACAGATATTATTTCCAAAGCATGGATTTGGTATATTAGCCTTCACAGTGATCCTCAGTTACACTGAATTATTTCTTCTTCCCAAATAACCTCGGGGTAATTATAGTCCTTGGATAATCAGGCAGAAAGAATCTAGAACTCAGTGATCAACTTATTTTGTTCATGACCCTCCAGGATGACCTAAAATAGGTTTTGGAAAGACTATTTGAGCACAATACCTGATACAATTTGGGAACTAGTCTGTACTGTAGCACAAGTAACTGTACTTAGCTGTCATACATAATGACTGAATATGTACAGTTAGGGTAGTCAAAAGATGGTCCCGGGGTTTTATAAAAAATGTTTAGGCTCCAAAAGCTCCTAGGAGGTATATAGTGGGATACCAGTTGCTTTCCATATTGAGTAAGCAAATAAAATGTTTTTATACAAATGTTTTGATATTCAGCATTTGTTAGGAAACAGTTTCAGGCAAGCAGGTCTGCTTAGGACTCTACATTTTGTTTTATAGCCCATGTCACCTAGTGATCTAAGCAACCCACCTAAAAGTATTCTGTCTATATATATATGGAAGATCCACAAAGATCAAATCCCTTCACACACACACACACACACACACAGAGAGAGAGAGAGAGAGAGAGAGAGAGAGAGAGAGAGAGAGAGTCAAACTTACAGAAGCAAAAATGTATGGTATGATTTTTCTGAGATACCAGCACTGAGGTGTCAGAGGCAAGAGGTCTACAAATTTAATGCCAGACTGGGCTTCATAACATGTTCAAGGCCAACATGAACTCTACAGTGAGACTGTCTGAAAAAACAAACAACAAACCCATGAGTTCCTGGCTCAAAAAACAAAACAGAACAACAAACAAACAGCAGAATAGAGAATAATATTGTAATATATAATTCAGCTTTCAGACATATGTTTAACTCATGTAAAAGGTAAACTTAAAAGTATATTTAAGTTTCTTTGGTGCCATCTAAATGTTATTTACAAATCATATATTCATATTTCTTTTTTTTATTTATTTTATTTATTTTGCATACAATATTCTGTCTGTGTGTATGTCTGCAGGCCAGAAGAGGGCACCAGACCTCATTATAGATGGTTGTGAGCCACCATGTGGTTGCCAGGAATTGAACTCAGGACCTTTGGTAGAGCAGGCAATGCTCTTAACCACTGAGCCATCTTTCCAGCCCCAAAATGTGTAGCCCAGGCTGGCCTCGAACTCGTGATCCTCCTGCCTCTGCCTCCTTCAGCAAATCCTACCGGCGTGCGCCACCACAACCGGCCATATATTCATATTTCAATCACAGTAGTAGGAGATCTTTACTACTTCTCTTTAAGAAGCTTAGTGTTTGCATATTTTTTTTAAACATTCTAAAATTACTCTTTGGTTCCTGTTGAAGGCATTTGTGTCACAAACATTTTTGAAGATCTTTGGGGATGAACTAGATGATATATAGCTTCTTCTCTTCTTTGCTTTTAGGTAGTTTTAAAAACATAAAGGACTGGGCTGGAGAGATGGCTCAGCGGTTAAGAGCACTGCCTGCTCTTCCAAAGGTCCTGAGTTCAATTCCCAGCAACCACATGGTGGCTCACAACCATCTGTAATGAGGTCTGGTGCCCTCTTCTGGCCTGCAGGCATACACACAAACTGAATATTGTATACATAATAAGTAAATAAATATTTAAAAAAAAACATAAAGGACCATATTGTATTGTCTTGTACTAGGACTACTCCTAAGAAAAGGAATTTAAAATCAGTAAAAAATAAACTATAACTAAATTGATAAAAGTGATTTAAAATAAGTGATGTCTCAAGTTTCCCCTTCAGAAGAAAGATTTGAAGTCATTAAGACGTTTCATTGTTCATTTTGTTTAATTCTTCTGATAAAAGGTGTTTGGATGGACTGGTGAACTAGGACCAGGAATTTATTGGTTAATTCCTTCCACAACTGGCTGTAGACTAAAAAAAGAAGTAAAACCAGTAACAGAAGAAGCCCAACTTGTATATAGAGATGAAACAGGGGAATTATTTCTTACAAGTGAATTTAGGTAAGTTTTGTTTATACTCACCTGTCTTTGCCCATTGTCTATGGACTGCTCTCACCCCCTCTTTCTGTGACCAACTCCCACCCCCAACTTCCTTTGCCCAGCTTTCACCCCCCTCTTTGCGTGGCCAGCTTATACCCCCATTTTCTGTGGTTAGCTCGCCCCTCTTTCTGTGGTCAGCCCTCACCTTCACCTTTCTGTGGTCTGCTTCCACCCCCATCTTTCTGTGACTAGCTTTTCTGCTTTAACTCAGTATCTTACCACAACATGTTGGGCAGTGCACCTAAAAATAAAAGGCACAAAAACCAGTGCCTTATGATTTCACTTATATATGGGATCTACAAAGTAAAATTTATAGAAGCAGGGTGATGATTACCAAGGATTGGTGGTGTGAGGAAATTGGGAGAAATATTCTTAATAAGTAGAAAATTTCCATTAGACAGGAAGAATAAATGCAGTTATCCATTGTGTAATATGGTAACTAGACTATAGCTAATAGCAATTTATTATATTTAATAATAATATATTTGGAATTTGCTACAAGAGTAGATCTTAAGTGTTTTCACCATAAAAACTAAATATATGAGGTTATAGATGTGTTATTTATCTTGACTTACTCATTCCACAATTTATACATGCACAAAAAGCATGCTTTGTATAACAAATATATATTTTAAAATTCTTTAAGTAACCAAGAGTTACACTGTGCTTATAAGTCTAGGATTGTCTTTAGTTCCTAGGTTCTGTGCACCTGGCCAGACGTCATGTACAGGTGTCTTCAAGATACCAGTATCTTCTCCACCAGACATTGACTTTAATGGTAGATTCTGTGAGTTACACTCTTGATTTTGATAACTGTCAAAATTAGAAGTCTAAACCTAAGGGTGGTCTTCTATGTCCTAGATGATCACAATGAGATTTGACCACAGACAGATAAAAATGTATTTGGATATAATATAGCTCAGAAAAAATTCTTAAATGCCATTAATATTGTTTCCTTTGAAACTTGTTCTCAAAAACTGTCTTTAGGAGCTAGAGAGATTGCTCAGTGGTTAAGAACACTGGATGCTCTTCTACCTGGGTTCACACTCATTCCTGGTTCACACTCATCTATAACTTCAGTTCCAGAGGAGCCAGTGCCCTCTACTGGCTCCTTCAGACACCAGGCGTGCACGTTGTGCACAGACATACATGCAGGCAAAACACACACATTAAATATATATATATATATATATATGTGTGTGTGTGTGTGTGTGTGTGTGTGTGTGTATATATATATCTTTAGACTTTTTTTAAAAAAATAATAATTTCTCTTTTTATAATTTAGGTCAACTTTATCGGAGATATTTGAAGTCATTGATTTAGATGGAAATGGTCTTATTAGCCTTGAGGAGTACAACTTTTTTGAATTGCGAACAAGTGGTGAGAAGTGTGATGAGGACGCGTGGGCTGTCTGTAGAGGTGAGTGCTTGTCAGACTCCTCCATGGAAGAGCACCAGAGCGTTTAGGAGAGTGGGGAGAAGCCTAAACACGGGACTAGAGAGGAGGCACGGTGGATTTATTGCTCTTGCGAGGGCCTGGTTAGGTCCTAGCACCCACACCAGGCACCTATAACTACAGTTCCAAGTCTTTCTCTACCCTTTCCTGCCCTTCACAGGCATCTGTGTTCAGATGGTGCACATAAACTCATGCAGACATACACATACACATAGAGTTTAAAGAAGTAAATCTCTCTTTTCTAACATAAGCTTTTCCTTATGTGATAGTTGGCATACTTACTAAACTATGTGAATTAGTTAATGATTATTTCCGCTTTGGGGGATTTACACCCTAGACACTCCCACATGTCTCCTTCCCACCTCATGTCATAACGTTTTCTTCCTATTCCTCCTCTTCTCTGCCTCCTATTTCTCCTCTCCCTTCCTTTTTCGTCTTCCTTTCTTCACCCTCTGAATCTAGTTGTTAGTACTGCCTGCGGGAATATTAACAAATATTGGGTTGATCTTTTGAGGGTGAGCATATGCAGTGAGTTCATGCCTGTAAGAGTCACATGTCCAAAGACAGCATTTGTCCTCATCCTCCTGCTCTTATGTTCCTTCTGCCCCTTCTTCCACCATGTTCCCCGGGCCTTGGGATAGGGATGGTCCCTGAGTAATCAGCAAGCACTTATGTGCTCTGATTACTTAAGTACTTTATTCACTCAGTTATGAGTCTCTAGAAAACTACTGCCTACTGTAGAAAAGGCTTCTCTGACCAGGGTTAAGAATAACATTAATCTGCCAGGTGGTGGTGGTGCATGGCTTTAATCCCAGGACTTGGGAGGCAGAGGCAGGCAGATCTCTGTGAGTTCAAGACCAGCCTGGTCTACAGAGCTAGTTCCAGGACAAGCTCCAAAACCACAGAGAAACCCTGTCTCGAAAAAAAAAAAAAAAAAGGAACACTAATCTATCTAATCCATATTCAGGAGGCAATTTTGACAGCATGTCCATTTACTAAAACAACAATAGCAGGTTCCTTGCTAGGGTCTTTGGCTTTACTTTCCAAGCAGTTTTTAACAAGTTTATAATAATGGGTCAATTCCTTCCTGTGGAGCAGGTCACAAATCCCAAAATGCTTGGTTATTCCCATAGCATTCTTTCCACTTTTGCACCAGTGCAATTCTTGCCTGGCATGTTGGTATTGCAGCATTCAGTGGTACTGCGGAGTAAGACCATTGATGATTTTTGTTTCCCTAGTAGCCTGAAGGTACATGCAAGCTAGCCAGCAGGGAGCAATTTTCCAAGTCAGTTCCAGATTGATTTCTTTATGTCTTGCAATGAAAACATGTGTGTCTTCAGAAATAGGGTCTACCAGGGTTATGGTCGACAACAAATGGCAACGGTGTCTTAGTTACTTTTCTCTTGCTGTGATGAGGCACCATGACAAAGGCAACTTGTATTTTCTTTCCTGAGACGGTGTTTCTCTGTGTAGCTTTGGAGCCTGTCCTAAAACTCACTCTGTAGAACAGGCTGGCCTCAAACTCATAGAGATCCACCTGTCTCTGCCTCCTGAGTGCTGGGGTTAAAGGTGTGCGCCACCACCACCCACCTCCCAAGGCAGCTTATAAAAGAAAACATTTAATTTGTGCTTCATGGTTGCAGAAGGTTTTTAGAGTCCATGACCATCATGGCAGCAGGCAGGTAAGCATGGCTCTGTATTAGTAGCTGGGAGCTTACATCTTAATCCACAAGCATGAGGCAGTGGGCAGGAAGTAGGGGACTGGGGATGGTATAGGCTTTTGAAACCTCAAAGCCTACCTCAGTGACATATCTCCTCCAACAAAGCCACCTTCTTAATTCTTTCTAAACAGTTCTACCAAGTGGGGACCAAGTATTCAAACATGAGCCTCTGGGAGCCATTCTCATTCAAACTGCCGTAAATGTCAATAGTCCATGTTATCTTAGGGGCCTGTAGAGCTTCCCTGGCCAATAACTCACATGGAGGTGTCTAACACCTGGCACTGAGATTTTCAATTACTAACCCGTGTCTTCTGGGAGAAACATTGTCCAACCATGCAGGTACATGTATTTAAACTCCTTTACAGAAGGGAAACTACTTTCCAGCAAGCACTCGGCATCACTGAGCCACACCCTGGTTCCAAAAAAAACAACAAAGAGTTAATAAGTTAGTTTCACTAAAAAAATTAAGAGGTTTCCAGAAAGTTGTTTATACATGTTAAGAATTCTTAGCTGGGCACCTTGGCTCACATCTTTAATCCCAGTATTTAGAAGGCAGAGGTAGGAGGATCTCTATGAGTTTGAGGCCAACCTGGTCTACAGAGTGAGTTCCAGGATAGAAGGGCTTCATATAGAGACCTTATAAAACACCAATATAAAACCAAGAACAGAAAAGGGATTCTTTAATATTATTCTTTAATATTATTTGTTCTCAGTTAGGGAAGTTCATCCATGCAGATAACAGAAGCCAAGAGCACCACAACAGAACATCATTGAAGATGAGGTTGAGTCAGTTAGGAGGCATCTGAGATTAGAGTAGAGTTTGTGTGCTTAAGCCAATGGCTGAGAAGTCAATGAGAAAGCCTAAAAGCCATAGCCAACTATATAGCGCAGAACAGGAACTGTGGCAGCCAGCTCATTGTTGGAGACAGAGGACCTCCCCATCACGGGAGTAGTGATGTTTGTCTCTTAGGATGGTTGAGTTTGTACAGTAGGTAAGCTAGGCAAGAGTCTGAGTAATCTGTTTCTCCAAAAAGCAAGTAGGATAAAAATAAGATACTAATATAAAGGGTTTTCATAATTTATTTTTATAAATATGTTGTTTAATATTAAACTTCTATTAAGTTTGGTAATATACACAGTATCCCTTTATTTATAAAATGTAATGATATTATAAATTTAAGATATAGCTTTTTCATTTTTTAGTTTATTATCACTACTCCATTCCATAGAAGTGAATCATAATTAAGATTTTTCTTTATTTTCTGCCTTTATGTGTGTGTTTGTGTGGTGTGTGCAAATCCACGCTTATTCATGCACACAAAAAGGTCAGAGGGAGTTGGTGAGTGTCCTTTTCTATCACTGTTCATTGTATTTCATTGGGACAGGGTCTCTCAATGAGCTTGGAGATAGACTGGAAATGATAAAACCCAACAATCCTCCTGTGGGCTGGCAATCCCTAGCACTGGGGTTACAGGCATGCACACTCAAATTTTTTTATGTGGGTACTGAGATCCAAATTCTCCATCATGCAAATATTCTTACCCATTAAATCATATTTCTAGCCCCTAATTAAGATTTTCTTATGGCAAAAATTATTAGTCAATAAAGTTCTATTTAATAAAATTAGTGGGATTGATACTTAACATCAGCTATTTTGAGAGCTCACCATATACCGGGTGCTAATCTAAGGGCATCTATATATCAGCTTTGTGAGGTAGCCCTGGAACTGCTCTCATTGTACACATTAGGATGTAGAATCAAAGAATCAAAAGAGATCAAGAAGCTTGACCAAAGTCAATAAAAATAAAGCAAGACGGTTGCATAACTAGGCTTCAGACCCAGACAGTAAGGTTCCAGAACCCCAAACTTCAAGCTAGCAAGTGTTTCTGAAAATTATTGCATTGAAATGATTTGGGGGACATAGTTGCTTCAGTGGCAGCCACAATGCAGCAGGGTAGATGTAATTTTTAGGTTCTGAAATGTTTGCCTTTCTCGTGATAGTCAATGTTTACTCATACCAATTGATGATAAAAATACATTAGTTAGCTATAAGATCATCTCAACATGCTTTTTTTGGACTTAAAATATTTTGTCTTTGTTTTGTATATTAGTTGATTTGCTTCTTAAAAGCAGTTTTGTATCTAGAAAAACTGAGAAGAAGATCTGGAGGCTTCTGGGATCCATCTTTTCCATTCCACACCCAGCAAGTTCTGCGTATTATTAACAATACCAGTTAGTGTAGTACATTTATGATAACTTGTCAGTGTATCTTACCACATAATTTACTATTATTAAAGTTCACTTATGTTGTATAGTTTTACGGGTTTTGACAACTGTTTAATCTCACAAATACAGTTATCGCAGTATCATAAAGAATAGTTTCAGTGCCCTGAGACTCCTCTGCGCTCCATCTGTTTACCTGTGTATTCACCTCCCAAAACCTTGGCAATAACTGATCTTTTTACTGTGTGTGATTTTGCCTCTTAAAGAATATTGTATAGCTGAATTGCATATGTTTTCTTCATACCTTTTCATGGTTGATAGTTCATTTCTTTTTATTGCTAACTAATATTTCATTGTATGCACATGTCACAGTTTGAGTCTTTCTGTTTTCTTACTACTTCCAGTTTGGGACATTTGTGAATACAACTGCTATATACACTTGTGCAGGGTTCTGTGCAAATGAGTTTTCAATTATTTACATTTCAGTTCAGTCAGTATTGAGCTGTATGCGGAGACAGTGGTTAGCTCTGGAGGAAGTGCTGTTTTGCAGGTGTTCTATGTCAGCCATTATTTGCATTCCTGTTGAACCACATGTCTCAGCATTTGCTTTCCTTTGGGGTTTTAAGCATTCAAATAGGTCTATGGTTGGATCTCATTGTTGTTTTGATTTGTAATCCTCTAATATCATTTGATATTTGGCTTCTTTGTGTCTCTCTCCCATCAGTGTAACATCTTTGGTGTTGTCTCTGTTGGTACCCGACCCTTACTTTTTGAGATGATGTCTTCCTGTGTAGCGAAGCATCACCTTAAACTTTATATGATACCCAGGCTGACCTTGGGCTTGCCATCTATCCTCCTGCTTCAGCCTTCTTAGTGCTGGGGTTACAGGAATGTGTCAACGTGCACAGGTTTTCCTGCCTGTTTTTCTTATTTATTTAATGACTGAGTTCTAAGAGATCTGTGTATGTTTTGAATATGTATCTTTTTTCTCTTTCTTATTTATTCTATGTGTCTTTTATATCATATATCTTGATTGCATCCATTTCCCCATCCCTTCTGCCCTCCGCTCTGGCACCCCCTCCAAAAAAATTAAGCAAAAGGGAAAAGAGAAAAAATTAAAAATCTCGTCATGGAAACTGCAGTATGACACAGTACGTCACACAATATACCCCTTTGTCTGTGTATCTTTACTTACAAGTGTTCATTGCAAAGAGTCATTTGTTTGAGGTCTCTGGTTTCTACTATACTGTTGATGTTGGATCTTCACTGGGCCTCTTCTTGGGTATTCTATGTAGCAAGAATTCTAATTGGTCTTAATGATAAAATCCAGGAGTCAGCTCAGCTATAGGGGTAAATGCTGAAAGATCAGAGAAGCAGAGCAACTGGCCACTAGTTCTTACCTCTACTGAATCCTTAGACCAGATGGATGATCCTGTCTCTAGGAATCCTCAGACTGAATGCTCAGATCGAATGCACCACGATCCTGTCTCCACCTACCTTATATTCCTGTCTCCACCTCCCTAGTGCTGGGATTAAAGGTATGAGCCTCCACTGCCTGGCTATTTCTCTTTTAGACTGATTCAGCCCAAGGTGGCCTTGAACTTCTGATTTTTCTGCTTTGCCCTCCCAAGTGCTGGGATTAAAGGTGTGTGCCATCACAGCCTGGCCTCTATGGTAAACTAGTGGCTAGCTCCACCCTCTGCTCTCCAGGCAAGCTTTATTTGTCAAAAATAAATCATCACCATTTCCTGTTGTTGCCCTGTGTTGTGGTGATCCTGAAGCTTTGGGACTGCGGGTCAGGTTTCTTTATGTGCTCCAGCAGATCCAAGATGGGGTGGGTGTTGGGGCGGGTCAAGTCCTAATCCTGATTCTGGACCTGTGCAGACTGGTCCGTCCTCACCTGTCCTCACCACTAGGATGAGCTCTCCAGTATTGCCAGCGAATTCACCTCTTGTAGCAATGAGTGAGGTGTGGGGCCAGTTCTTCTACTTTCACACCCTCAAGGTCTGCTTTCCTACACCACACTTTCAGGGCCAGCACTACTGTGTTACTCCTGCACTGTGCAGGAGCCACTCTCCCAGGTGCTGCAGCTGGTAGAGTCAGGGACAGCTCTCCTGCTCTTAAGATCTCATGGTTAGCTGCTACACCTGTCTTAGGCTTTGATGGGAATGGGGGTGGAGCATCTCTCCTCCGCCCATGCTGCCACATGTCAGATGATGGGGACAGTTCTCCTTTGTTTACAACCTAGGAGCTGGGTCACCTTTAACTCCAACTACCAGCTCTGCTGTGCTGTCTAGGCGAGGAGCAGGGCCTGCTTTCCTAAGTGCTGCATCTGGTAATGGGGAGGGTCAGCTCACGCTGTCTCTCTGTCTCTGTCTCTGTCTCTCTCTGTCTCTCTCTGTCTCTGTCTCTCTCTCTCTCTCTCTCTCTCTCTCTCTCTCTCTCTATCTCTCTCTCTCTCCTGTATGGATTAAAGGATGAGGAGTAAGGGAGTCATCTCTCCCCAACCCACACCCCTGCATGACAGATGAATAGTGGGGACAGCTCTCCCATGCTTACAACTTTGGGCCTGGCTCTGTTATGTTACCCTGGTGAGGTGCAGGACCTGCTCTCTCAAGTGTTGTGAATTTGTATTTTTTATCAGATATATATTTTGCAAATATTTCCTCCCAGTTAATGGCTTATATTTTTATTTTTCTAGCAATATTATTTACAGAGTATAACTTGTTGATAAATTGTTTTCTTCCTTAGGACATGTTTTGTGTGCTGTGTTATCTATTCTTGATTGTCAACTTGACACACCCAGGAGGAGGGAACTGCAGCTGAGAAATGGCTTCTGTTACACTGGTCTATGGACTTGTCTATGAGGCATCTTCTTGGTTGCTAATGGATGGAGGAGGGCCCAACACACTGTGGGTAGTGCCCCTGCCTCAGGCAGGTGGTCCTCAGGTCTATAAGGAAGCTAGATAGGCAGAATCAGGAAGAAAGCCAGTAAGCAGCAGTTCCTGCCTTGAACTCCTGCCCTGGCTTCCCTTTATGATGGATTGTGACCTGTAACCTGAAATAAACCCTTTATTCCCCATCTTGCTTTTGATCATTGTCTTTATAATGGTGACAGAGAAGTAATCTAGTACATATTGTTATCTTTTGAGGCATGGTCTTGTGTAACCCAGAGTAGGCTTGAACTCCTAATTTTTCTGCCTCTATCTTCCAAACTTGAAGATTATTGGCATACTTCACCACACTGGCTTGGTTTGTGTGCTTTTAAAATTGTATCTAAAAACTTTGTCACCAAAGAAAAATCTGCCTAGATTTCCTCTACTATCTTGTAGAAATTTTTTTTGTTATGTGTTGTACGTTTTCATCTGTGGATTGTTTGCAGTTATTCTTTGTGAAAGGTTTAAGGTCTATGCTCAGATATATTTATTCTTGGATATGACTATCCAGGTGTTTGATTGCATGGCTGGAGAGTTCTTTAGTCATTATGTTGTTTTCCCCTTTGCGGCTTATCAGTAGTGTGGAAATATGCTGTTGCATTGACCTATTCTCAGTTCTCTCACTAACACCACTCTTGATTATCATAGCTTTATGCAAATCTTTGAGTCAGAGGTTAATAGGATAATCCACTCTTTTTAGTAGTGTAAGGGTTAAATCCAGGGTAATGTCTGCTAGAGAATTGCTTTACCACTAGCTTTATACCCATCCCTTTAATAAATTTTAAAAATTAATAAGGATTAAAAATTTTAGGTTTTAAAGGTCATTAAGTTATTGCTGGTTCACATAGTATAGTATTAAAGACACATTTTTCTTTAATACTTTCTTTGTATTGCATATCAAATATTAATTTTTATCTTACTTTACTAAATAGTAGGACATTACTATCATTACTCTCCCTGCTTTAATTTGCATATTTTTTCTTGGAAAAAAAAGCTGTGAATCTATTTCACTTATAAAACATTTTAAAACATTAGTCAATTAGGTATGTTTTGTTTTTTTCATAATAGTACATAGGAAAGAGTTATTGTCTCATTTCTCTTGAGTGTAATACAGATGGAAATTGGGAAGTAAATCTTTCTTGTTGTAGGAAGTTGCCAAAATATAATTTATTAATGGTGTTTAGCATCTATAGATTCATTTCAGGATAATCATAATAGGACATGTAGGTGGATAAATAGCTATTAGATATACATATATATATATGCATATATATGTTCAGATAGCAATAGTTTTTACTCACAAATAATGTTAAATGAGCATATTTAGCCTTCCCTTTGGGAATGCAGGTTTCCATTTTCTAACAGTTTCTCAGAGACATACCAACAATTTGTTAGAGAAATTATATGTGTTCTAGTCTCCTTAAGCCTGACCCCATCAGTTCTCCCTTTCTGAAACTCAAGTAGTCTGGGCGACATTATATCATTTTCATTCAGGTTCTGGTGAGTTGAAGAGGCATTTTGAAGCATGTTAACTTTTTTTAACTACCAATATAAACTCTTAATGAGTGGTCAGGTTGGAATTTACCAAGAAAAATTACAGTTTCCTCTAACTTTGGGATATGCTTGCACTAGTTAGTTACAACTTGCCAATATCTGGTGGGGGGGAATCACATCCCATGATGGTGCCTGTGTGGAACTGTGGAAAATTAGAAAAAGAAGTAGGTTTGAAGGATTCTTATTCCCCATATTCTTGCTGACAACTGAATGTTTATGGTTAATAATATAGATGTTTTATTAACTGCATGGACTTTTAAATAATGTATGGAAGAAATGTTTGGGTTTTTGCTTGTTTATTTTTTATTTGTTTTTGTTTTGTTTTTTTGAGACAAGGTTTCTCTGTAACTTTGGAGCCTGTCCAGGAACTCGCTCTGTAGACCAGGCTGGCCTCGAACTCACAGAGATCCTCCTGTCTCTGCCTTCCAAGTGCTGAGACTAAAGGGGTGTGCCACCACTGCCTGGTGAAATGTTTATTTTTACAGAAAACTTTGACACAAAGAAGAATGAATTAACAAGACAGGGATTTATGGACTTGCATCTGATGGAAGCCAATGATCGAGAAGGAGACCCTCTTGACCTGTGGGTGACTCTACACTCGATGGGTTACAATAAGGCTCTGGAGCTGACAGAGGTAAAACACTCAGACATTGACAATGGCTTTGTTTTTCATGGTATTTGACCTTAAACACTCCTGATAGATGACTTTTAAATCCAGCACTCAAATCCTTGAATTTCCGTAGTGTAATTAGAATCCTGAGAACATGGTATGTTTCTAGTATTTTACTGAAGCTTGTGTTCTTTACTGAAAAAAAAATAGTTACTATCAACTATGATTAGTCAGAGACAAGAATGTTTGAACTTGGGCTGGAGAGATGGCTCAGCAGTTAAGAGCATTGCCTGCTCTTCCAAAGGTACTGAGTTCAATTCCCAGAAACCACATGGTGTCTCACAACCATCCATAATCAGGTCTGGTGCCCTCTTCTGGCCTGCAGGAATACACACAGACAGAATATTGTATACATAATAAATAAAAAATATCTATAAAAATAATTTTTAAAAAGTTTGAACTTTTTAATGTGCAGAGGGAAATTAGTAACTAAAATATATATATTTTTGTTAGAACAAGGACCAAGAATGGAGTTGTGTGAGAAGAATTGAGTGCTTGTGAGAAAACTCTTAAGAAAACAAGACAGGAGTCTTAGTTACTTTAGTTTCTTCAAAAACAGGAAATTGAGCCGGGTGGTGGTGGCGTACGCCTTTAATCCCAGCACTAGGGAGGCAGAGGCAGGCGGATCTCTGGGAGTTCGAGGCCAGCCTGGTCTACAAGAGCTAGTTCCGGGACAGGCACCAAAGCTACAGAGAAACCCTGTCTCGAAAAAACAAAACAAAAAACAAAAAAAAAACCAGGAAATTGTTCTTGGAATGTGCTGTCGTGCCCCTCCTAGCAGTTAGGAGTGAGTTTACTTCAGATTATTCATTATAGTTGGCTGTTACTTGTTTATATACCTCTATGGAAAAACATGTTTTGGCCATGCTTGGCTTGTTCACATCTTACTCAAGTGATTTTTCTTAACCCTCAGAGTATAAATTGTCTGATGCTCTGAATAAAGTTGACTATTGCATGAGACTTTAGTCCACCTCTCTCTTAGGCTCCACTGTCCCAGGTTCATGACACCAACTTATTTTAAACTGGAGATGTCACAATAGGTACAAAGTTAAATAATATTCTAAGTTCAGAAGAGAAGGAAAACTAGGCTTTTTAAAATTCTCTGTCTTTTTTAAAATACAGGATTTAAGGGTTTCAGCTCAAGCCACGTATTAAGTAGTAAGATATTTGGTTATAGTTTTAAAGTTTTAGTCATTTTCTCATATATCATTGTAATACGAGTTTTCTGTCCTGCCTGGTCCTGCAGCTGTTCAGCCCCAAAGAAACACACAGAGGCTTTATATTAATTATAAACTGTTTGGCCTATTGGCTCAGGCTTATTAATAACTAGCTCTTACAATTTAAATTAACCCATAATTATTGTCTATGTTTAGCCATGTGACTTGGTACCTTTTCTCAGTGTAGCATTTTCATCTTGCTTCCTCTGTATCTGGGTGGCAACTGCAGACTGAGCCTTTCCTCTTCCCAGAATTCTCCTAGTTTGGTTGCCCAGCCTATACTTCCTTCCTGGCTACTGGCCAATCAGTATTTTATTAAACCAATATGAGTGACAAATCTTTACAGAGTACTAGAGCATTGTTCCACAGCACTACATTATGTAATCAAAGACTCCATATATATATGCCGTCTTTTTTCCATATATCAGATTTCTGCCTGGCTTTACTTTTCTAAACCATTGGCCAAAAGATCTTTATTTATCAGCCAAAAAAAGCAACACATATACAGAAGGGCATCCCACATCATATCAGTCAACTTATTGTTAGGTTATTTTATTTTGTGTGTATAAGTGTTTTGATTGCATGAATGTTTGGGTACTACATGCATGCCTTGTGTTCACAGAGGTCAGAAGAAGGTGTCAGATCCCTTGGCACTAAAGTTACAAGTGATTGTGAGCTACTATATTGCTGCTGGGAAATGAATCCAGGTCCTCTGGAAGAGCAACTAGTGTTCTTAACTGCTGAGCCACCTTGCCAGCCCTACTTCAGTCAACTTATAAAGGCAGTACTGCTAATGACAGATTTTAAATTAAGTTCTTTGAAACTTTGACTAAATTTCTAGTCGTGGTATCATTCAGTATTCCTTAGAAGTGTGCTTTCAGAGTTTTCTATTTTTTTTTTTTGCCATTTTTAGTAATTGAATGTGAAGAGTTACTGTAATTTTTAAATACCCATCTTTAATCTAATTTTGCAATTTTCTCTTACATTTTACCCATAATTGTGAAAGCTACTTTTAGTCTATAAACAGTACTGGTTCTGCTGCACATTTTTCTTAGTAGAAATTATTTAAAAGCAATAAAGCAACTTGAAAACATTTAAAACCATTTGTTAATATTACTTGTCTTTGAAACCAGAGGTAAAAATTATGAGGTAAATTTTTATTTGGCTTATATTTTATTAATACTATTGAATAGATAATATATCTCCATTATTTGAAATTTCAGCAGAAAGGGGACTGAGGATGGCATTCAGTTGATAAGAGTGCCTTCCTAGAATATACAAAGCCTGGAGTACAATTCCCAGCACCACATAACCTGGGCATGCTAATGTCTGTTAGTTCAAAGTCATCTTCAACTACATAGCAAGTTTGAGGCTAATCTGAGCTACATGAGCAAACAAAACAAAACAAAAATAATAAAATTTCATAGGAAAAATACATACAGCAGAAAGTGCCAAAGGATGGTGGCCTAGTTTGCTTTCTATTGCTGGGACAAAAACCATGATCAAAAACAACTTGGGGAGGAAAGGGTTTATTTCAGTTTATAGCTCCTAGATCATGAAGGGAGTGAGAGGGCAGCTGCTGAAGCAGAGGCTATTGAGGAACACTGCCTACTGACTTGCTCCCCATGGCTTGCTCAGCCTGCTTCCTTATATAACCCAGGACCACTCACACTTGACTGGACCACTCCACATCAATCATTAATCAGGAAAATGTCCCACAGCCTTGCCCACCAGCCAGTCTGATGGACACATTTTTCTCATTTGACTTTTCCTCTTCTGAGATAAATTGTGATGTGTTGCTCACAAGAGAGATCAATGCTGGACAGGTACAGTTGACCCACATAGATCATCATGCTATTTTGTATTTATTTTATGTTTGGGGGCATGATGGCAAGGAGTTAGCTAAATATTAAGCCATAAATAATTGACAGTCTTTGGAGAAACATGTATGTGAGAAATTCTTAATTGTGTTGGTTGGTTGGTTGGCACTCAGTAGTGTTCCTGCTTGTATGAATAATGTTTCTCACTTTTTGACCTTGAAAGATGATCAGGTGACACTGGTTGCTCTACAAATTGAATTGTGATGGGGATGCCTTTCTCTCTCTCTCTCTCTCTCTCTCTCTCTCTCTCTCCCTCCCTCTCTCCCTCTCTAAATGGTGGAGTTGAACACAGGATCTCATGTGTGTTAGACAAATGCTCTACCACTTGAGCTAAATCCCCAGCCCATTTTCTTTTTCAAGTGAATTGAGAAAGTTTAAGATCAGTAATGACACATGCCATTAACCATCTGATAATAATAGTTGTAGTGGTATATTACTTGTATTTCAATAAATAAATCTTGGCTGAAGACCAGAGCAAAGCTAAGACCCATAGAGGTCAGGTAATGGTGACACACACCTTTAATTCCAGGATTTGGGAGACAGAGTCAGATGGATCTCTGTGAGTTCAGTCCCACCCCATGATACACATGATCAATGAAGAAATAAATCCAGGTAGTGGTGGCTCACACCTTTAATCCCAGTATTAGGGAGTCTTATACCCTTAATCCTAGCACTAGAGGGAATATAACAGGAGAGAGAGGCTTAGTCTGCGTAGTTGGTGGTCGCCCAGTCTTGGTAGAGGTAAGACTTCTCCAGTGGCTTGGCTGCTTTACTTTTCTAGTTTTTGGGTTGAACCCCGATATCTGTCTCTGGGTCTTTATTATTTGTGCTACAAATAATCATTTTTTCCTAAAGTTTATGAGAACTTTAAAAATTGTTTTAAATTTGACTTATATTCATCTGAAGTTTTATCCAACTAATGGAGACACTTTAAAGAAGTTTTTATATGTGGGGATTTGATTTCAGTTCATGTATTGATTATGATTTTATCCTGATTTTATCTGAAAATACTATTAAATCATCTATTGGAAAAGATACAGAGAATCATTTTTAAAACTCAGGGTGAGATGTCTTAAAGGCCTCCAAGACTGCATGGCATGGTTGTGTGATGGGGGGAGAGTCTTCTGTTTTGTGTTAATTTCATTGGTTAAATAAAGAGACTGCCTTGGCCCTTTAATAGGACATAAAATTAGGTAGGCGGAGTAAACAGAACAGAATGCTGAGAGAAAGAAGCTGAGTCAGTCGGTTACCATGATCCTCCCACTCCAGACAGACGCAGGTTAAGATATTTCCTGGTAAGCCACCTCGTGGACTACACAGATTATTAGAAATGGGTTAGATCAATATGTAAGAGCTAGCCAATAAGAGGCTGGAACTAATGGGCCAGGCAGTGTTTAAAAGAATACAGTTTCCGTGTAATTATTTCTGGGCATAACCTAGCTATGTGGGCGGCCGGGTGCCGGGGACACTGCCCCGCTGCTCCTATTACAACAGTTGTGTATGTCTGAAGTCTTAGCACCTAGGAAGCTGATGCAGGAGGCGTTTAGTTTGGGGCTAGCCTGGGCTGCATAGCAAACGGAAAACATTCTGAATTACATTACATCATGCAGCCTTTTAGTGTGTCTTTTAATGGATACAAATACATTTGCATGAAATGTTAATCTAGGTTCAACCAGAAATGTGAGCTTTGGTGCAGACTCTGCCTAGGTTTGTCAAAAGACAATACAAAGCTTGTTTAATTCACTTGTTTGGATTAAAGATTCTAAATTTTTTTGCTGTGCCTTCGGGTCTTAGACTGTGTTAGTTACTATATCAGCCAAAATGAAAGAACATTTTAAAAAAGTTTTTATTTGTATTTGTGTGTGTCTGTGTGCAAGATGTTCATGTACATGCAGGGCCCACAGAGGCCAGAAGGCATTAGATTCCTTAAATCTGGAGTTACAAGTGGTTATGAGCTGCCCAACATGGTTGCTTGGAGTCAGACTCTTGTCTTCTGGAAGAACAAGTGCTCTTAACCACAAAGCCATTCTTCCAGGCCCAAGCAAGCTAGTTTTTGATTAATAGTGGAGTGGTATAACTTCTAAAACTGGGATCACCATCTTCACAGGATTTTTGTTCAAAAGAGAGTTGGCTTTCTTTGTCTGCGGATTCAGTTACTTGTAATCTATTGGTCTCTCTATAGTAGTCTCATATATTAAATGGGAGAGTCCAGAAATTAAATATAAGCTGTACATTCTATCTTAGGTTCTGTTCTGAGTAGCATGATGAAATCTCACAAGTTCCTGACAGGACTGTCCTTTTGTCTAGCTTCTCCCTCAGTGTCAGGCTTGGTGGCAAGCACCTCTACCCACCGAGCCATCTTGCTAGCCAAATGAATCTTAAATGATATGAGAAACATTTATAGTAAGTTTATTTATTTAAAATTCTACCAGAAGGCTAAGCCTAATTTTTTTTTTTTTGCTTCCCTCTCCAGGCATGCCCATTTGTCATCAATATCTATGCAGAAAGATGCAAGCCAAGAATTAAAGCGATCCATATGGAGGCATGCAGTGGGCAACTTGAGAAGGCCATTTGCAAGTCCGTCCTTGATAGAAGTGATGCTAAAGTCATGGATGGCTATGAAAATATAATTGTACATACTTGCAATTATGACACCTGGATAACATCTATCATTGAAAATAAGGTATCGATTATGAGTTAGTTTTCCTTATTTTGGTATAAAGTTTTCTAATAATATTCTTTTTTACATTGCAGCCAAACACCCTACTATGCTTATAATATTTATAATAGACAGTTATTCATTTTAGGATTTATGAACCAAACTTGGCATGGCATTTGTTATATTATTTATAATGACTCAAGACCATTGTTTTTATTTTAAAATATGAAATTTAAAATTTGGAGATCAGTGAAGAGTCAGTATAATATGCATACAAAATAGAGATATAATTTTTCTTTATATATAATATTTTCAAAATACTTGTTTAGTTTGTTATATAACAGGATCACCAGAAAATATGAAACATGTTCTCCACTGGATTTTTTTTTACTCTTGGAGGGCCTGCCACCTAACTCCCAAATAAATATATGGAGATTACTCTTACTTATAAATACCTGACCTTAGCTTGGCTTGTTTCTAGTCAACTTTTCTAACTTAAATTATCCCATTTCTCTTTAACTATGTTTTGCTTCTGGGCTTTTTACCTTTATTCTGTATGTATTTCTTTCCTTCTTACTCCATGGCTGTATGGCTAGGTGACTGGCCCCTGGAATCCATCTCTCCTCCTTTTCTCACTCCTCCTCCTTTTTTCTCAAGCCTAGATTTCTCCTCCTATTTATTCTCTCTGCTTGGCGGCACCACCTATTTCTCTTTCCTGCCTAGCTATTGACTGCTCAACTCTTTACTAGACCACTCAGGTATTTTGGGCAGGCAAAATATTGCAACTTTATAGAGTTAACAGATGCTATATAAAAGAATGCAACACATTGTTGCATCATTAAACAAATATCACGCAGTATAAATGAATGTAACACATCTTAAACTAATATTCCACAACACCCTGCTTTCAAGTGTATGAGTTACTTAGGAAGACAATTAATACTCTCGGAGAGTATCTCAGAGGCTTAGTAAACATCCAGTCCTGTATTCTGTTTGCGTGCACAGTAGATTTAGTCTACTTTCATCTCACAGTTGTTTAGACCATAGATCTTTGGAACAACGTGTGATGAGGGAAAAGGAGTGGAGAGTAGGATTTTAGCTCTATCTAATGTTTAGATACACTGAGAGACAAGCTTCAGGACAAGGCAAACAGTAGAAGAAACAAAGGGAAGGTGTGGTGTGAAAGATTATTAGAAAGGTCAAAAAGAATGATGGAGTGGATCCATATCATATGTGTTATCTTGAACAGTCTTTCTAGGACCTAAAACAGTGCCTGGCATGCAGTTAATATTAAATAAACACATGCTTATTGAGTTAGTGAATAAAAGAGGAACCCAATTAAATGGATGTTTCAGGCATATTAGTTGGAAGGTAGGATCTGAGTGAATGAATGATAGAAAATAAAGATGAAAGAAAAAGAAGACATTATTGCTATAATAAACCAAGGATGAGCTAACTTGCTGTTACAGTCCACAGTGGTCTGAGAATAAAGATTAAAGGGAAAATCCAAAACTCAGTTGAAAGAAAAGCTTATGTCATCAGTTAGAAAGGAATGAATGAAGAAACCCAGAGCACTGAGCAGAAAGCAGCAGCTGGCTTGTATTAATTTGTAGTGGACTAGATTCTATAAACAGATTTTTAGGTCTCATTCTGAGGTTTATATCTTTATTATTTTTCAAAACTAAAGACCTATAATTTTCTACAGTCAGATGACAAAGTGATTATTCACATCAACAATGAACTAAGTAAAAACTGTGTCAACAACAGAGGACTCAACGTCTTTGCAGTAGAAGTGGCTCCAAGATCTACAATGGTAAATGTTCTCTAAAACCTTTTGTCATCTCTCTTTGGAAAGAAATATTTGCTATTAATGCTATGAATAAGCATGTGGCATGAAATGAAATTGTAAGTTATTTAAGCATGACATTCTTAGTACTAAATACAGGAGAGGTAGTGGGATTTTTGTGTTGGTTTTGGATTATTTTCTCATGTAATCCAGGCTGACCTTGAATTCACTGTGTAGCCATGGCTGAGCTTTCAACTCTGGGTCTTCAATCCCCCATTTCCCACGTGCTGGGATTGCAAACCACCATGTCTGGTGGGCGCTATGAAGAGTAATATTCATTAACTTTTCTGTTCTAGTTTCTTTTAAAAATTGTTTTACATTGTGTGTACTTGTGTGCAATGTACATGCATGCATACATGCATATTCATGCCACAAAATGCATGTCAAAGTCAGAGGACACCAATAAGAGTTGATTATCTCCTTCCACCTTGTATGTTCCCTAGATCCAGCTGAGGGTGAGGCACTTTTTTATCTGAGCCATCTTAACAGCTCTATTCCTGTTTAAGGGTAAAATTAAAACATTAGTTAGGTCCTTCAAAAGATTAATAGAAAGATAAAAATTAAATAATATATGTAAAAGCACTTTGGAATATCATATGGAGAAATGCCAAATAATATGACTAATAATAGTTATTTTAATAACCCCAAATTAAGATTGTCCAAGATTACCTGAGAGAAGAAACATCTCAAAGTTTTAGATAAGTAACTAAGTCAAGAGCCAGAACAAGCTCTATAATTTTGTTCCTAGCAGACTCTGCATTTCTGATGAGGTCACAAATTGAAAGGCAAGAATGATCAGCAGACTCCCAGGATCTGGTAAAGAAACAGAGAAAAGCTTATTAGTGTATTTTTTTTTTACCACCCCCACCTTTCCCCTGTGTTTTCTGTGAAATTTCACAACCTTCTTGAGTAATTTAAAGGTAAAGGGTAAAGACACTTTCTTTAAGTTTCTCCAATGAAGACTTAAGAAATGGACTGCAGAGGGTAAAGTATTTGCTCTGCATCCTCAGAACCCTTGGAAAAGCCAGGCATGAAGGTGCAGAGTGTGCAACACCAGTTCTAGGGAGAGAAATAGGCCATATCACAGGCCAGACTGTAGTGTGACGTTTTACTCTTTTGTCTTTTTGGAGGACCCACAACCCAGCTTCCAGATAAATCACATACAGAGCTTATTCTTAGTTATGAATGTCCGGCCTTAGCCTGGCTTGTTTCTTGCCAGCTTTTCTCAACTTAAATTCTCCCAACTTCATTTTCCTCTGGGCTTTTATTTTCTATCTTTCTATGGCGGGCTGGGTAGCTGGGTAGCCCCTATGTCCTCCTCTCCTTGTTCTGTCATTGCTCCTTTTTTCCGTCTTTCTTTCTATTTATACTCTATCTGCCAAACCCACCTATCCTTGTTCCTGCCTCGCTATTGGTCAATCAGCTCTTTATTAGACCATCAGGTGTCTTAGACAGGCAAATAATCACAGCTTCACAGAATTAAACAAATGCAGCATAAACAAAAGTAGCACACCTTAGAATAATTTCCCCCAACATTTTCCATTTTTTCCTTTCTAAACAAAAATGAAAAATTGTAACTTTGACATTGTAAGACTGTTTACAGTAAGAACAATTATCAAGTAAAGATTACATTCACAATGTACTGAATTCCAATTCATTTGTATCTGGTAAATTTAAAGAAATACTCCATAATCTATCCTATCTAAGTAAATCTAAAATTTTATAACTAAATTACTTTCTATCATATCTAAGGAAAACTGCAATTTTAACTATCTAGTCTTCAATTTCATCAAAGACCCAAGAAGGATATAATATTATTTGACTAAACAAAAGGTGCATTGCAAACAACTTCCAAAACTCTTGAAATGACAAAGACATCTGACTGCCTGGACAGTCACCCAAAGTACTTCTGCATTGTTGGGGCATCCATCTTCAGCCTACAGACCTAGAATATCTTGTAGATTTTTCAATGAAGCAGGAAATTTGCAGACTGTCCCACCTATGTTAGCAGTTTGTCAGACACTTTCCTCTGTATTCTGAAAAATGTCTGGTAGACTCTTCTGTAAAGCAGGAATTTTGAAGGGCTGTCCTACCTTGTTTTGGCAAAATTCATTAGTCACTTTTCTCTGTGTCCTGCAGAATATCTGGCACACTTTGCTGTGAAGCAGGAATTTTGAAGGGCTGTCGTGTCTTTTTCCTGCGTGGCCTGCATGTTCAGTCTGCACAGCACATTATCAGCAGTCAAAGATAAGAGCAGTTTCTTTGCCCAGTGACTAACCTTGCCAAAATGAAAGCAAATAAGGAGTATCTCCAGTGTCCATTATCTCTGAAGTAAATTGGTGCTGCCAAGAGCAGATTTGTCTCATTGTCATGAAAATCTTTTAAATTAACAAAACATTTTAATTGCTATATTCTATAGGTCGTTGAAGTATTTGAAGACCATCTATCTAAAATATATCTATTTAACTTAGAAAACATACCTAACATATGTACAAATTTGATTGTTATATGGTTAACTACTCACCTACTGAATATTTCTTGATTGTCCTATATAGTTTATAATAATAGCTTTCAAAAACTAGATCTTTACCTTACTTTTTTAAATGAACCGCATAGGTACAATACCTTAAACAAGAGGAAAAACACATATGCAATATGTGGTAACAAAAGCAACCTTAAATTTGTATCAATCTACAAAAACCCTTTAGACAAAAGTAGAAACATATACAGTGTGTAAATTTGTATCAATATACAAAAGTTCTTTAAACAAGAGTAAAACCATATATACAATGTAACAGTTGACTTTGAATTTGTATCCATATACCAAAATTCATGCCAATGCAAAATATCTGAGATTAATAGTTGTCCTTTTATCCTATATTCCCCTAAATATAACAAACATCCATGACCCACAAAATAACCAAAGACCCCCTTTTCTTTTGGGAATGTGGACATTTTGTTCTTTAGACTGCTTTCTGCTGAGTGTGAGAGAAGTATTTTTAGCGTCGCAGAGAGAAAATTTGAGACAATGGCCAAGTCCTGGGAAGATCAGTTATAACCTTTGTTGATAGATATCACCTGTCAAATTTCAGGAGGTCTCTCCTGATCAAACCAGATCCAGGTCAACCTGGAACGAATTTACAGCCTCTTGTTTTTCATGGAAACAAAAGCAAGACCTCTTCTCCAAAGCATTATTGATTTCCATTTGACAAATACATTTTTTACCTTTAAAGTTAAGGCATTCTTAAAATATCTAGACTGGTTCATTTCCACAGGCCCTCTTTCATTTCCAGGTCTCTTAGCTGCTGTCTTTTGCTTTTCAGAAATCAAAAAATTCAAAATCAACATAATAACATAGGATCCAGACTCCCTGTGTATTTCCCATCTTTTTTTGTTTTGTTTTGACACAGAGTTTCTCTGTTACATTCCTAATTTTTCTGTAACTAGGTCTTGTAGATGAGGCTGGCCTCAAACTCACAAGAGATCTGCCAGCCTCTGCCTCCTGAGTGCTGGGATTAAAGGCATGTGCCACCACCATCCTGCCTTGTATTTCCCATCTTTATATGTGGCTTTTTACTTTTATGTTCCTTATACTGTCTCTTTAAAGACTTTATTTTTTAAAACTGTTTCTTTCAATAACTGCCTATACCCATTTTCTTTCTTTCTTAAGCTACACACATTGTAAAACACACTGGAACCTGCTGAGAGGCTTTTTCCATCTGGATCTCTTATATTGCATGTCTTTTAGCTTTTTTGACTGCACGAGCAAACTTCAGACTGTTAAGCTTCACCTGGCTTCTCTACATGCTCTTGCAGCTGGCTGGTTCTGCCCACTCTCGGGTTGGTTCATGAAAGCCAAGCCCAAAGCTTGCCCCCTGGTCAGAGCTTTGTGACTGAGAACTGCGTTAAACCTTGTTACCTGTGCAATCTGGTACCTGTGTTGTGACAAGCGGTTTTTACTTTGCTTGCCACAGTTTCTAATTTCTATTTAGTGCTGCCAGTTGAACATCAGCGCCTCTTAAAGGAGTCGTGTCCTTTTTTTTTCCAGCTTTCTCAAACTCTAGATGGACATCTGAGCCCCATGTTGGGCACCAAAATGTACTGTGATGTTTTTCTCTTTTGGCTCCTAAATAAATCACATACAAAGGCTTGATCTTAGTTATGAATGCCTGACCTTAGTTTGACTTGTTTCTTGCCAGCTTTTCTTGAATTATCCCAACTACCTTTTCCCTCTGGGTTTTTATCTTTTCTTTTCTTTCTTTCTTTCTTTTTTTTTTTTTTTTTGTATAACTTACTTTCCTTCCATGGCTGGCCAGGTGGCTAGATAGCTGGCTTTTATGTCCTCCTCTTCTTATTCTCTCATTGCTCCTCATTTCCTCATCTCTCCTTCTATTTATATTCTCTGTCTATCCTCGCTCCTGCCTCATTATTGGCCATTCAGCTCTTTATGAGGACCATCAGGTGTTTTAGACAGGCAAAGAATCACAGCTTCACAGAGTTAAACAAATGTACCATCAACAAAGTAACATGCCTTAAAATAATTTTCCCCAATACCACACACTCTTGGTTCTCAACCTGTGGGTCATGACCCCTTTGGGGGTGTCAAACAACCTTTTCACAGGGGGCACATATCAAATATCCTGTATATCAGATATTTACATCACAGTTCATAACTGGAAAATTACAGTAATGAAGTTATAATTTATGGTTGAGGGTCACCACAACATGAGGGACTGTGTGAAAGGATCATAGCATTAGGAAGGATGAGAAACACTGGCTAGCTTGATTAGCAGGGGCCAGGTTCCTATAAGAGATCTTGTCTCAGAACTTAAGATAGATAGAGTTGGAGGAATGACAGTTGAACTTGACCTCTGGCCTCTACATGTGTACATGCACATATGTGTACACACATGAACATGTGTACATATGCACACACAACTGTGCATGAACCCACCATTACAATGTTCTAGGCTTGGTGGGGAAAGCCTACTTACCTCCCACTGCCCTTTTTCACACAGTAGAACTACTCTAATAAAGTTGATTGAGTCTGGATTCTCCTGTTAGTCCTCAGATCATAAACCGCCAGTCCATGCTAGGGAAAACTAACAATTTTATCTACACATATATTCTTCCCCTCCTTTTTCCCTTTTGATATTTAGAGACTGGGTCTCATTGTGTAACCCAGACTAGCCTCAAACTTGGAATCCTCAAGCCTGAGCCTTCTGAGGTTATACCAATAGGTAGTGTACTATCATCTTTTTTTTAAAAAAACAAAAAAACTGTAGTAATCACCCTTTTATTAATTATATGCTTCATGTTGCCAAGGCTAGTCCAGATCTTGTATGCTTAAATGATCTTTCTGCTTAAGTCTCCCAAGTACATTGCATTCATGCCTGCTCATAACACATGGTACATGCCACTGCCTCTGGTTTCACAGTGATTTCTTTCTTTTTTTTTTGAGAGAATCTCACTGTGGAGCCCTCGCTGGCCTTGAATTTGCTGTATAGACCAGATTATCCTGAACTCTCAGAGATCTGCCTGACTCTTTGCCTCTTGAATGCTTAGATTAAAGGCATGCTCCACCATACCTAGCTTTACAGCTACTTTTCAAAAAATCATATGAAACCTAGAAATGTCCTATTTAAAATTAGCAAATAACAATAATTTATCAAATAAAAATAAAAGCTTTCTATTTTTATATGCAGGTTTGTCAACATGTAATGCCCTTGAATGAACGACAAGAATGGATATATTATTGTGTGTTTTCCCTTATATCTTAAATAATTCCACTTGGAACTATCAAACTAAGAAGTATTTTAGATCAAATCTGTTATTTATTAACTAAATGTTGTTCCATGACACTGGTATACTTAATAATCTGTTTCATTTCTATGCATTTATATTTTATGTCCATGTTATATATTTTATTATTAAAATTCAAATAGTGTTTTAAAAATGTGTGGCTGTCTTGTTAATTTAGTTGGAAATATACTTTTTTGTTTTTTAATAAAGGAAAATAAAATTGTAGATAGGATTTTTAAAAGTAATATTCAGTGACTTCCAGACTATAGACTTCTGGTTTGTTTTACATGTAAAAATACTAAGAGACAATGTAAATACAGAAATAGCCATTTAAGGGTCTAACTATCAAAGAGCTAAAGTGGAGTGGAAGAAAACCATTTCTGCACTAGGAAGCCAAAACTTGTTGGCAATTGTACAATATTTTGTGCCAACAATAAATTTCTCACCAGTGTGTCAAGTCGTTTTCTTGCACAGAGGGTACTTGGGAACCGTTGGCGTTAACCCTGTGTAGCACCTAAGGAGATAGTGTGTGGCTTAAAAAATGTCATCGAGCAATTAAATACTATTTGTCAGTACTAGTAGCAGAGAACTTGGCCAATGTCAGCTTTTGGATTATGAATACCATCTGGCAAAAGCTATTTTTTGCCTACACTATGCATGCACATAGTTTAAATGTGGTTTGGAGTTTGGACCGTTGATTTAGATCTGTAAAATAGGTTGTCATTACCTCGCTGTTTGAACTCTTCAGACAGATGTCTCATTAAAGGTAGTGAGATATAAAATTATTTTGTTTATTGTCAAATGCTTTATAAGTTCAACAACTGTGGCCATATATCTCACTTCACCTAATACTGAGTTTCAGAAAATTTTATGTGGTGCTAAAAACATATAACAAAGTTTTTATATTTTCCCAACATAGTTTATGGGTTTTATAATCAGATGATAGGAACATGGAGACTCAAGAAAAAAAATGTACGGAGCCTTGAAGAAGTACTAAGCAGCATGGGTATGACCTGGTTCCACAAACCCTCTCTCCTCTCTCCTGAAGCCTTGGCAGCTGGGGCAGGGGCTCCATATCCTAGCAGTCCCATCCTCAGTGGAAGGCAAATTATTGTAAGTTAATCTTCCTTTTCCCTTCTCACTTGAGCACTCTCCAGTTCTGATATTTTAACCAATGTGTTAGGTTTCAGATACTACCATAAGAACTTCTTAAATTACTGTATTTAATCACTGCACTGATTTTTTATTGGATATTGATGTGGACAGGTTTTTTTTTAAGCTAGTGGCCTCTTAGTTCTATTTTTGTGTAGGTTAAATATGCAGCAGAAACATAATCATATCTTAGGTATAAACCAGGAAAGTAGAACTGTAGTTCTGATTTTGACCACTAGGGGGAAAGTGAGCATTGGGGGGATTTTCAGCACTGTTAAGCTGCTCTTAGTGACTAACAAGGCTGCTATGTTGGACTTTATGACTGTCTGCAAACCCATGCATATATGCTCTTTCTCGATGGAAAATGTATAAGAACTGTTCATGCTTTATAAAATGAATACCAAGTCTCCTCCTCTTAAAAAGTAGTGCCTTTCAGTTCTTTATGACTATAATTATTAGGGTGTGTATACGTGGCTCCTGCTAGCTTTATATAGCGTAAAATTTCTACCATTGCTATCCAACCTGCTTAACTTCTAAGGGAAAGAAGGAACTGCATCATGACTTGAGGAAAATAAATGATGGAGCTCATTTAAAGGAAATAGGAAAGATTCATGTGGAGAGAGAATCTGAGGACCAGGAAGTAGCAGTAGTTCAGTCTGGAACAACTTCGGGCTGCTTTGATGCATCTGTTTGATCACTATTCTGTCTAAAGAAATCAAGACAAGGTAGCCTTAATTCTTACAAGCTTCCTTTATTTGTGCCAAAGTCACTGTGTACTTAAAAAAAACGGGTCCTCTGGGACAGGCTGCAGCTTAGTCAGTGCTTGCTCAGTGTGCATGACCAGGCTTTGGTCTCCAGAACCAGAAGACAAGGAAGGGAGGATTATCTTGTGAAGACCCTTAGTGGGAGTTAGAAATGGAGAGTTGGCTTCAGAATGGATGGTGGAAAGAGACATAAGCAATGTACCTTTTGTTTGGACATGAATTCTATTGATACTGAATTTTCTATTTCCAGAGAAATTACTAGGTTTATCAAAGGTAAATATAGAAGAATTTCTTAACCAGACTTGAAATTTTAACTTTCAGGTTTTCTTCATTTAGGTTAAATGGTTGGGATGTAGGCAAGTCTGTAGGGCATTTTCTTAATTAATGATTGATGCAAGAGGATCCGGATCACTTGGGAATGATGGTCCTGGGTAGATAAGAAAGAATGCTGAGCAAGCCAGGGAGGGAAAGTCATCAAGAAAGCTGTTGACTGAGTTTCTGTCCCGCCCGGTTCCCGCAGTCGTTAAGTCCCAAAGAAATCACACAGAGGTCTACATTAGTTATAAACTGATTGGCCTAGTATCTCAGGCTTCTTATTAACTCTTATAACTTATATTAGCCCATAATTATCTGTGTTAGCCACATGGCTTGGTACCTTACTTGGCAAGGGAGTCACATCTTGCTTCCTCTGTGTCTGGGTCACAACTGCAGAATGCGTCCTCTTCACAAAATTCTCCTGTTCTGGCAGAGGCGGCCGGAACCCCGGCGGGGCCGGCTAGGACCAGCTGGGACCTGCTGGGACCGGCTGGGACCGGCTGGGACCGGCTGGGACCGGCTGGGACCGGCTGGGACCGGAGCGGCAGCAGAGGACACAGGCCGCAGGCAGCCTGCGGGAACTGTCCTGGCAGCAGAAGCAGGCTGCAGGGACCGCGCGCAACACCGAGAGCAGATCGCCCCACTACAATTAAATCAAAGAGGTAGGCCTTTGGTTGGGGAGGTCCCTGGCAAAGGAGGAGCCGGGTCCTATCCCTGAAGACCCTTCTGAGGGGTGAGAGGGATCTTGGCCTCCTGCAGGAACCAGGAAACAGAGCGAGGGCATTTTGTAAGAGGAGCCCCTGGCCAGCAGGGAAACCTGAACCAGTTTTAACAGACCCCTTAGATAGCATCGATAGGAGGAGATGGGCAGGCGCCAAGGCAAGATTTCACCCAATAATCTGAAAAACAGCATGAAAACACCAGAACCCAATGATCTTACAACAGAAGGTCTTCAACACCCTAACACAGAAGAAGTGGAAAAAATTGACTTTATGAAAGCAATAGAGTCCCGTAAACAACATGTGAAAAATGCCCTTATAGAAATGGATGAGAAGTATAACCAAAAATTTGAAGAAATGAGTAAATACGTACATAATACCCTGGGAAACCAAGAAAGAATGATCAAACAGGTAATGGAAACAGTTCAAGAATTGAAAACTGAAATGGAAGCAAGGAAGAAAACACAAACTGAGGACCAGCTGGATATGGAAAATCTAGGTCAATGAGCAGAGCCTACAGAAACAAGCATAATCAATAGAATACAAGAAATAGAAGAAAGAATCTCAGATTCTGAGGACACCATAGAGAAAATAAACGCACTGATCAAAGAAAACTGCAAAGCCAACAAAGTCTCGTCACAAAACATTCAGGAATTATGGGACACAATAAAAAGACCAAACCTAAGAATAATACGAATAGAAGAAGGAGAAGAGTCACAGCTCAAAGGCCCAGAAAATATTTTTAACAAAATTATGGAAGAAAACTTTCCCAACATAAAGAAAGATATTCCTTTGACTATTCAAGAAGCATACAGAACACCAAACAGACTGGATCAAAGAAAAACATCCCCTCGCCATATAATAATCAAAACACAAAATATACAGGTTAAAGAAAGAATACTAAGAGCTGCAAAGGAAAAAGGCCAAGTAACTTATAAAGGTAAACCGATCAGACTTAACACCCGATTTCTCTATGGAAACAATGAAAGACAGAAGGTCCTGGATAGAAGTACTGCAGAAGCTAAGAGACCATGGATTCAAGCCCAGACTACTATACCCAGTCAAGCTTTCGTTCACTATAAATGGAGAAAACAAGACATTCCAGGATAAGAACAAATTTAAACAATACGTAGCCACAAATCCAGCCCTACAGAAAGTAATAGAAGGAAAATCGCAACCCAAGGAATCCAACATTGCCAACACTGCCTACAATAACTGAGGCATCTAGCGACCCTTCACTAGCACAACTCAAAGAAGGGAGACACACAAATTCTACTTCCAAAAACAATAAGAATATCTGGAGTAAACAACCACTGGTCATTAATATCACTTAATATTAATGGTCTCAATTCACCTATAAAAAGGCACAGGCTAAGAGATTGGATACGAAAACAGGATCCAACATTCTGCTGTTTGCAAGAAACACATCTCAACCACAAAGACAGGCATCTACTCAGAGTAAAGGGTTGGGAAAAGGTCTTTCAAGCAAATGGTCCTAAGAAAAAAGCAGGTGTGGCCATATTAATTTCTAACAAAACTGACTTCAAACTAAAATCAATCAGAAGAGATCGAGATGGACACTTTATACTCATAACAGGAACAATTCGTCAGGATGACATCTCAATCCTGAATATTTACGCCCCTAATATAAAAGCACCCACTTTTGTAAAAGAAATATTACAAAACTCAAGGCAGACATCAAACCACACACACTAGTAGTAGGAGACTTCAATACACCTCTCTCAGCAATGGACAGGTCAATCAGACAGAAACCTAATAGAGAAGTAAGAGAACTACTGGAGGTAATGAAGCAAATGGACTTAACAGACATCTATAGAACATTCCACCCAAATAGGAAAGAATATACCTTCTTCTCTGCAGCTCATGGAACCTTCTCGAAAATTGACCGCATACTCGGAAACAAAGGAAACCTCCACAGATACAAAAAAATATCAGTGTCCACCTGTGTCTTATCAGATCACCACGGATTAAAGTTAGAATTCAACAACAATCCTACCTCCAGAAAGCCGACAAACTCATAGAAACTGAACAGTCAACTACTGAACCACACCTGGGTCAAGGAAGAAATCAAGAAAGAAATTAAAGTCTTCCTTGAATTTAATGAAAATAAAGGGACAACATACTCAAACCTATGGGACACAATGAAAGCAGTGCTAAGAGGAAAGTTCATAGCACTAAGTGCCCACTTAAAGAAAACAGAGAAAGCATACATCGGAGACTTAACAGCACACCTGAAAGCTTTAGAAAAAAAAGAAGCAGACGCGCCCAGGAGGAGTAGAAGACTGGAAATAATCAAACTGAGGGCGGAAATCAACAAAATAGAAACACAGAAAACAGTCCAAAGAATCAATAAAACAAAAAGTTGGTTCTTGGCGAAAATCAACAAGATCGACAAACCCCTATCCAAACT